AGCACACTGGGCAGCCTCTGGTCCGTCATTGTGTAATCAGACAGAAAATCAGTCCTAATTCATGAGTCCTCTGGTCCCCCACTCCCACTCTCTATCTCACTGATGCATTATGATGCTCACACATGCACAAGCGCACACCTACACACACAAACAGTTGCGCACGTAATCGCATTTGTATGATTTATTAATGTCCGCCCAAACCCAAGGGACAAAGAGACAAATAGTGAAGTTGTGGTGTGACAGTCTGACTACGCTGGCTGGAAATATGTCATTCTGATTCCTGGCTCTTTCTCTTTCTAACAATTTGCAAACAAACAAACCTAATCCCACCCTCAAATTAAACCAAGTCCCCACACTAAAAATAACAATTTACATTGTGTTTAATTGCCTTTTGTCCCTAAAAGTGTCCCCACACTGTGACTGTGTCCATAGATTTATGTCACCTCAACATGACTAATAAAAGATCCCATTATGCACACACATTTACTGCTCACCGGAGCCCTGGCACCCTGAAACATTAACCTTACCATCAATAATATATGCCTAAGCCCTCTGCCATTAGCGAACCTGATTCTAACCTTGAACTTCAAATCTAAAAAACTTTGGCCCCCAGGTTAGTGTCCACTTCTTTCTGATGTCTTGTACATATGAAGGTAATCTGACTCCCAAATGAGTTATGTCAGCTTCTTCAACAATGAAAAGAATTTTAGTGGTGCAATTATTGTAGACACTGAAAAAAAACAGTCATTATATTAGTTATACTCCTAAAATTTGAAATGAAAACAGTGAAACAATGAAAGTTTTTTTTGCCATTTATACCTAATATGCATTGAACAAAAATGAAAACGCAGCATACAAATGCTCTTCCATTCTGACCTAGTGAAAAGGTTTAAAATTTTGTTGTTCTAGTTGGAAAGGGTTCAATTTAGCCATTTGTGCACAAAAAGCAAATTCTCAAACACTGAGGATCATGATAAGAGAAAGTGACCAGTACTTAGACCCTCTATTGACCAGTGACTATAAAAGGCCATCTTAAAATGCAGCTTTATTCAGATGACACAATGCAACAGATGACAAGAGAAAAATGAGAAGAAGCTGTTTGATGCTGGCTTGTCAGCTCCACAGCTCCACCATCTGCCACACGATGCTCTGGACGGACGCGTGATGCCGTCGCCCAAAATGTTCGCCAACTTCGCCAAGTCCTTCAGGAAGACAGCGACAACATCCCACAAGCCGCATCGACAACCTCATTAACGCTGCATCGCATATGTGTGACTGGTTGTTTGGTGCTTGGTTGTTTCATGACATCCGCTCTATTGAACTTTGTTTGAGCAACAGATGCTTATTTCTCCCCGCATCAAAAAGAATGGATAGAATTCATTTCAATGTGAAATGTGTGTAAGAGACACAAAAAGGAGACAAAACAACACAAGACACAAAAGAAAAAGCGAGACACGCGACACAAATTAGACAAAACTGTCCTAGTGAGACATAAAACAACACAAAAAAGACAAATTGCAGCAAGGAAAGAAGGGATAAATGATGGAAGTGAAAAAAGGAAAAGGAGGAAATACGTTAGAGAAAGGACAGATCCAAGTTAAAAAGAAACTGAAACTGAATCGAATACAATACAATCAAATCCCCCTCAAAAATGTTATCTGAAATGTCATCACTACTGAGATCCATAGACTGTATAAAAGATGGACGTAGCAACCGGCCCTGAAAAATGAAGCCAACCCGGAAGTGTCGAAAACCTGCAATATCATTACGTCCGCTCGTCCTGGCTCCAAAAAGCCCTGGCTCCCATAGAAATGAATTGGAAAAGACGTGATCACAGATCACGAAATGCTGCATTCCTCCAGCTTAGGATTTTTTAAAATTAGTTTTCGTAGTCAAATTCAGAGACCAGGTGGCCAATCTGAAAATAAATCAATACTAAATTTTTAAAAAATCATCAACATTTTGCGGTTCAAGGGGCGTGGCTGGCTTGATTGACAGTCGGCAGCGATGATACAGACGAAGCGAGCAGAAGGCGGTAAATGTGGGCGGGCAGAGAGGGCCCGCCTCTCAATCCGTCTGACCAATCGCTCCTCCGACGATTTTTGCGTCACTGGCTCCAAAAATCCAAGATGTCAACCAGGAAGTAGCAAAACCCTGGCTTCATTTTCTCAGTGCAGAAACCAACGGGCGACGTCACGGTAGCTACGTCCATCTTTTATACAGTCTATGCTGAGATCCAATGTTTTTTGGTTCTAACAAACTGCCATCCAATATTTAGACAAGACTTACAGGTTTCCACATCAAGGCCTCGTTACTGGGTTCACTGTTAACCCGAGGATCAATACGTATTGACGGTGAAAACAATCAGTTAAGACATTCATCAGTGACTTAACCAATTATCAATCTGGAGGTTTTAGAGAAAGTCAGATGATCTTGAACAAGCAGGAAAAAAACAAATAGGTCAACAGAATAAAGACTCTGCTGCTTAATGAGTCATCAGTTATGTCAGGAGAGATTTTATGTTTACCTTACATTAACTCTGTCAGTTAGATATGATCATAGTGAAACACTGGTCTATCTTTGGGGTCAGATATAAGCAAACCTCAGCGAGGTGTTTGGGGATTAGATGTAAGAGCCAGACATGAATGAAGACGCCTCGAGGAGGAAGGGATTTAAACAAAATCAACAGCAAGTTTTCCATTAAACCCGGCGTGCCCTCTGCTAAATCAATCGGTAATCATTAATAATAATAAAAAAAAAAGCATCACATGGATCTGTTTTGACTGAAAATGAGCAGAGACGGCGACAAAATAAGCAAGTGAGAGATGAAGGGGCTGAAATGTCATCACTAATCAATAGGAAATGTTCCAGAGCCAGACATGTTATCGCTAATCAGCACTGATAGATACAAATGATGAGAAACAGCCACATGATGGGAACCGAGTTAATATTGATTGTAGAATTCAATACCATCTTTTATTTCTCTGTGTTTACTCTTATTAGTGCTCTATAAAGTAGAGTCCATTCAGAGGTTCCTACCATGTTCTCTCTGGAGAAGCTGCTATCTCTGTGGGATTAGAACTAAATTAAGTACAACATCAGCTTTCCTAAAATCTCTCCTCCGTTCAGCACATCCATCCCCGTACTGTAGTCTCGGAAGTTCAGGGGGGGAGATGCTTGATGGGACGGCATCAGCCGGCCGCCGTCCTCCCACGCAGCTTCTTCAGCATTCAACGTGAGCTACTTTCGCGTAATGAAGAAAGACGAAGCACAGAGCCAAGAGTGAACCAAAGCCACCTCAATTAAAACTTCAAACAACCTCCGCATGAGCATTATGAGCTGAATATTTGATTGAGGGCAGTTCTGTCTTTTCTAATTCTTTTTTTTTTTTTTATCCCTCTATTCACACAGAGGAAGGAATATTTTAGCTTTGAATTTAGATGTCCCATGTAGCCATGTCACAGTGGAAAGAATCCAACAACAATTTTTAGCACTGTGCCCACAAATCTTGTTTCATGAATTAATAAAAAGTGAAAGAGCCCATTTCAGGGACTTCAAAGTTGAAACTTCCTTGGCTAAATCCGGTTGGTTTGGGTGAAAGGACAAAAAGGTTATAGCCCCCATTAGGCAGGTAGGGGCGAAGCAGCCGCTCGGAGAATACTCAAACAGGCAGATTTATGTGCAGGGGGTCACATACAGATGTGTTTGGAGGAGGAACTATTCATCCAAGAAGAGAAATCCTGTTTTCGCTCGCCCTCGCTCAGTACAGGTCAGAGTACAAAACAGCATCCCTTGAGCCGGAGGGCATTAATCGTCCCGCTCAAGGACGTCTGGTGAGCTGCTGTCCTGAATGTGCGGAGGCAGCAGAGGTTCGGATCTCTACCTAAAGGTGGAGGTGGAAGGTACATTTGCATGCCCGACGTTGCCACAGCGTGCCACTGTTGCGTATCAGTGCTGACAGAAGCTGGAGCTGCAGCGCTGGATGTGACATACAGCTCATAGAGGCAATTAAGATCCAATTTGTGGCAAAAAACCGATTCCGTCTCGGAGTCGCAGCTCAATCGAAGCCGAATGCACAGACACATATTTGTGGAATTAATTCGACTTCCATTTTCAGAGGATCTCTCTAATGCCCGACGTGAATAAATGTCAATAAATCATTTTAAGAATCAGGAAAACTCAGCAGATTTTTAAGGTTTCTTTATTATCAGAGTAATCCAGTGATAGTTGTCAGGATTTTAATTTGCCAAAATGCAAGCAAATATGGGCTAAAACATCTCTTTCAATATTGTAACTCATTGAATTGAATCCATGGCAGCATTATACAGCAGCATCACACCGCCTGAGCCTCAGTACAGTCGAGGTAATTGGAATTTTGTTTAAACAAACTTGGTGTTGCCAAGCGCGTCCTCCATTATTTAGCAGGCAACTCTAGCGTTATTTATTTACACTGTTTAATATTTTATCCCCCTTTTTGTGACTTAAAGCTCCCTTTTTTTTTATTAAACTACATCGACACGGGCCCGTCACCGAAGCGTTTTCTCTGCTGAGGTTATTCCCACCGTCTCCGTAAGTTTCCCCAAACAACAACAACAATAACTGCTTCTACAGAACAGGGTGAGTGCAGGGATGTTTCCCAGAAGACGCCTTTCCTCTCCACGGCAACTGCCTGTGCTCTGCTGGCTGCTCGCCTAATTAAAGGTCAGTTAGCTAGCTGGGTGCCAAAGCAACATAAACACATTAAAGGGAAATGCCACTTAATAGCGCTGCTCATGGAGGCTTTGTGAACGCCGGGTGCTCCGTCCCTCCCTTTGCCCGGGTCGCCGGTGTCGCTCTTGTGAAAGATAATGAGCTCACACTGGTTTCGACTGCTCGGTGCCTTTCAGCTGTCAGAACTTTAAAGTGGACAAGTGAGGTTTTTTTTTTTTTTTTTTGATTTAAGGTTGCGGTTTGGTGTTCATCTAACATGTGTGCTTGTGTTTTTTTTTTTTTCTCCCCAGCGAACACGACTTGGGCGAGGATGACATCTACGACTGCGTGCCATGCGAGGACGACGGCGACGACATCTACGAGGACATCATTAAGGTGGAAGTACGACAACCCATGGTGAGGACTTAGAGTCGCTGCCCTTCTGTCGTTAGGACTGACGTCTCGTGCACTTTCAGTTTGCATGATTTCATTTCCCCATGAAGGTAAAACCCATGATTGCATTAGAAGAATGCAATGGAGCTACATAGGAAACACCTCCACTCACTTTTAACTAACCTTAGGCTGTTTCTGTGATCCTCATTGTCATTTTCGTACTCGATCTGCATGACGTTATGTGTCTAATCGCTCTTGCAGTACGTGTCTCTCTCATAACCGGTAATAAACCTGACTTGCTTTGCCTTTCTCATGCTGCAGATCAGATACATGCAGGTGAGTGCTGCTGTTGTTTATGACTCACACCACCCTGACTCCCCTCTCTCTCTCTCCGCCACCTCATTTATAACAAACTCCCGGCATCCCGAGAGGACGATCTGCCCCCGATTAGGTCAGCGACCCCCCCATCGCACGGCGGCAGAGGAAGAAGACCCCATCTGGTTGAAAGTGTGACTCAGGGCCTGTGTGACTTCAGCGTTAAAACTGACGTCAGCGAGCGCCACCAGCTGCCACATAAAAAAGGCCAGAGACAAATAAACATCGTCCGTCTGGCTTCGGGCCCCCGCTATTCTGATTGGTTGATTGGATGCTGGATTAAGGCCTGGATTGGACTCGCGTTTCTGCATTGTTAGCTCCATTTGTTTATTTATTTATTTTTCCCCGGTTATCATATCAACAGCCAAATCTGCACCAGATGGCTTAGTTAGTCGAGCTGCTCATATCAATGCCGCCGCACTGAGAATATGTCGAGAAATAAAGCCTCTGTGTGTGTGTGTGTGTGTTTGCCATAGTCATTAGGGCGACTCGCTTCCAGTAGACTGTTCTTTCAAAGAAGCACATGTTCATATATGGAGACTTATTTAGACATGGGGCCTCGTGAGAAATGCCATATGTAGAAGTTCACATCTTCCTCTGCCACCCTGTGACATGCCTGCTTGCATGGTTCTAACCCAACAACCTTGGATCCATCTACATATGCATACATATGCCTGTTTAAACCCACACATGCAGAGACATAGAAAAGCTCAGTAACTTCACACGCCTCCCTTTCTCCTCCAAGTCCAAATCATCACCACTCATTTCATTCCATCCATGCTGCCAACTGCAGGCAGTCGGCCAGTCTGTATGTGAATGTTTCTGTTCGATTCGAGTTGATTTTGTGTTTAATTAGAAACATTTTTTTATAGGAGCACGGTCCAATCTGAGCTCATGATTGGAGTCCTTAACTCTACAGATATTAGTATGCAGTTTTTGGCTTTATGGGTGTATTTTTTTTTCTACTCCATTAACGATCAGTTTGCATTAATTTCACATGAAAATCAATTAGCAAACCCAACATACGCGAAGACTTCATAGAAACGCGCCTCGGCCATAATGAGGGGATTATTCTGGCGAAGCAACGAAAAGCTGACTCTTGAAACCTGCTTGAGTTGTGTAATCTGTCACAGTCAACATCAAGGCTGCATTCATCTTGTCAGTGTTTCATTACGGTCGCATGGTAAAGCAGTTTAAGTGTAAATTGAGTGGAAGTGATTGGATTGGAAGGCTGCACTGCATTATCCCATGCTGATAATGCAGCTAGATGGATTTGATGGATTGCACCGTCTTCGCGAGGGTGCTAATAGATTTTCATACTGTTTGGAAATGAATAGAAACAACGGACACCTAGAATATTGGAAAATGTACTTTAGAATTTCTAAAGCATGGAAGCACAGGTTTGTTCCAACTGGTTCGGTGGCATTGCGTTGCAGTGGCACTGAATTCTTACCTATTACACAAAATCCAAATTATTTTCCTCCTAAACGCATTAAAAATCATCACTGGAACACCGGCGGCCATGTTAAAAATGGCAAATACATCATGGTAAAAAGTAAGAAAATGGACTAGGAGTTGCTCAATAATCCAGAATTATGTTGTCTGATTGTTGTGACTCATTCTATTATATTTGTTATTCTCTCTGTAGAAAATGGGTATGACAGAAGATGACAAGAGAAACTGCTGCTTAGTGGAGATCCAGGAAACTGAAGCCAAGTATTACAAGACTTTAGAGGACATCGAGAAGGTGAGTTTATGGATAAAGGTGGATCATACATGTGAGTTTGTTGATAGGTAGGCATTTTTTTATGATCCATGTATATCAATTTATCAATATGCACCATTGAAAGCTATCAAATGAAAATCAGTGGTTTTCATTTACTTCACAAATGCATAACTGTGTCTCACTCTTATATTTAATTGATGGTGTTTGGGTTGCTGCTTCAGAATTTGACTTTTTGTACAAAAATAAAGAATAATTCTTTTTTCTTTTTTTCATTTCTGCATTTTTCCACTAGTCATTGGACTGCACCATTAGTGGAGGGGAGTCTACAGCATGTGACAGTTTTGGAGACATATGTGAACAAAAAGTAGAGTTTTAATCCAATGTATTGCTGTTGTTTTTGATCTAATTCTACTTTATTTGAGTGTGTCCCCCGCCATCTTCAACTGGACCAGAGAGTGTTTGTAATGATACAAATTCTAAACATCACCCAAAGACTAATAAATACCTGATTTATTGATTTGTAATTATTAATTATTATTAGTAAATTCACTAAATCAAAGGCAACAATATTAGTATAAGGTTATAAACAATATATAGTCTGTAGCATTGGATTTATGCCTAACATAGTGTTGCTGGCATGTTATTGCATGTTCAGATGCACTGTTTACTAGCTTACATAAAGTGGTGGTGTGCATGGCTGCATGTAGACGTCCCTTGGCATCAGTGGTACAGTCTAACCATGAGTGCAAAACACAGACATGGAAGCTTTTGGAACACTGAGTCATTTTCTTTCTGAAGCAACAACCCAAATGTGGACAATTAAAAATGCAAATAAACAATCATCCATCTGTTCATTACTAAAAAAGAAAACATGAAAGCCCCAAACACATTTTTCATTGATTCTTGTCATTTTTAAAAAGTGTTAAACGGGCCTTTTCATCCTGACACAAGCATGTTACTGTTAGAGTCTCCTTTTTTTTCTCTTCTTCTTTGTTGGTGTCTCAGGCCTGTGGGCCCGGGTCACAGCATGGAAATGTCAAGTATCGGCAGATTCATTGGGGAGCACAAATGTCACAGGAGCTGATCGATGTGGTTATTATTGGCTCAGCCCCCACAGGAGACGCTGATCCCTGCGGCTTTAAGTGCATATCACAGGTGCTACTGTAGGAGAAGTTTCCCAAAAAAAAAAAACCGACTGTACTTGTTACACATATATGCTGCATCTCCTGATTTTGTAAGACTGTGAATTTGACATAATTTTTTAATACTAGTTGTTCACCCTTCTGGTACTGTGCTGCCATTGGAGGGTTTTTTTTTCTGTTTTCCTGCAGCACTGCTGGTTAAAACTGATCTTATTTGGCAGGAGTTAAGAATTTCTCATAAATTAACCATAACCCGATGAGCATCTTAGCATGTTTTATGATGAATAGCTTTGGCAGGTTGCTCGTGGAGTTTAATGGTGTGGACGGGAGATTTACATTATGGACAGCAGCAGGAGCATGTGCATTTACACCGTCCACCTCGCTGCATACATCCATGTCCGTTCATGAGTGTATCAGGGACTTTGCAGAGTGTAATTCTACACTGTTTTGCTTGGAAATGTAACGTGATTGCATTAGTGATCGCTTCCCTCAACACTACTGCCAACAAACGCAGGCAAACTCAAGCAGCTTCCGTGTAAAACAGCAAATTCCGTGCATTCAAAGCATCGTAAACTCTCGTATGCACGCATATTGCAGCTCTCTCGGCGTAATAACGAACCATTGTCGAGATCGCTGCTGCTAACGCATCAGTTTCCATGTTGACAGATTTCATTCGCGATTTGATAGAGCGCCACAAATCATCCGCTCCACTAATTTCATTAAACTAAATGTGTATCCTGTGTTTCCCCACGTCAGACTAACACAAGTCCAAATGAGAATAAATAACCTTCTCGCGAGCAGAGGACTCGTAAAGCTTAATTGAGTTGGGGTTAATAAAGACTGTCATCTCTTCGTTTGCTTCTTAGTTGATCTATTTGTTATCATTATGATGATGAAATGTGACAGCCATAAAACTGCTTTGGAGAAATAACAGGCAGGTTTTGTGGGGTTTTTTGTTTTGTTTTTTTTCCCCCCCTTCGAGCACAAGTGCAACATACACAACAGCTGTATGTATTTATGGCACACTCAGTGTTACAGCCTGAAATTAAATGACTTCTACACTGTAGCCTGGTATTGATTTTCCGTGTTGCTGCAGTTAACTTTCAGTTGTGCCGTCCTTCAAACACAGTCTTACAGATCTGCTAAAAGCTCACAGCTTTATTTAATGTGCATTTTTTGACATAAAAAAAAACTGCCAGTTTCAGTATTTACTTGTGTAGAGGACATTTATGGATATGTCCCATAAAGATACTGATTTGCCTCTGGTTTCTCTTCAAGAACTACATGATCCCATTGAAGCAATACTTGAGTCCCCAAGACATGGAGGCTATCTTCGTCAACCTTGAGGTGAGTGACTGCTCAAGCAGAGAACGTGACGTCTATGCGGCATGGCTTGATGTGCCCAACACCGAGTGAATAATTCAGCATGTGTATGGATGGCTGAGCGAATGGCAGCACGTGTGGTGTGTATGTACTCTATACTAGAGGTGTAAATATATGCAAGATTTACGGTTCGATACGTACTGAAATCTGAAATGTTTGTACTGCTGTTGAAAGGTGGTTAATGGCAATAAGTGATGGTGTAAAACATTCATGTTCGGTAATGAATTTACAAGAACACTACAACCCATCTTCAATCCAAAACTAATTCTAACTCCACAATGTTTTCTCTTGTTAACGAAAGAAAAATCACAATGCTCCCAAATAAAATTGGTCTTCCAACTTTGAGTTTACATTTGTGTTTGAAATACCAATTTTCCAGCTTTGGTTGTTAATGTAGCGTCTAAAAATGTACCACTAGTTGTCAATTTAGCATATTTAGATGTTTTTTTTTTCATTGAAATAATCCCTTACTACCTTAACTCTGTTATTTCCTCTAGAACGTGCAGATCTATGAAATCTGTCTCCCCTCACCCCTCGACATCTGCTCTGCTCAAACACTATAAAATTAATCTACACAATGGCAAGTTGTAATATTGGAGCACAGTGACTATAAAAAAAGTGTTCACCCCCCTTGAAAGTTTTCCTTGTTTATTGCTTCTCAGTATTGAATCATAATTTTAATTCGACTTTCATGTCAAAGTAAAACCAGATTTCTACAAAGTAACATCAGTTAATTGGAAATATAAAATGTGAAATAAGTGACTACATACGTATTCGTCCGCGTCAAGCAAGTATTTAGTGGATGCACGTTTGGCTGCAGTTACAGCATTGAGCCTGTGTCGGTCTTAATCAGCTTTGTACATCTGGATGCTGCAATATTAGCCCATTCTTCTTTGCAAAACTGCCAAGCAGCACAGGGATTGTGAGTAAACAGCACTGTTCTAGTCCACCTGCTGAGTCTCAGTTGGGTTGAGGTCTGGGCTGTGACTCGGCCACTCTGGAACCCTCACCTGGTTGTCTTTAAACCGTTGTTGTGTAGCTTTGGGTCTTTTTTCTTCTGGAAATCAAGTTGCAGTACTCTTGAGAGAGACTTAAGCTGTCCTCCAGAATTTCCCTTTAATTTTGCTTTACCCTAGATCTTCACAAGCCTTCCAGGGCCTGCTGCCAAGAAGCATCCCCACATCATGATAATGCCACCACCATGCTTCACACTAGGAATGGTGTGGTTGTTATGATGTGCTTAGTGTCCACCAAACATAGCATCTAGTCTGGTGGCCAAAGAGATCAATTTTTTACCAAAAGCCTTCTGCCAGTTGACTAAAGAGTCTCCCACATGCCTGCTTGCAAACTCCAGTCATGATTTAATCAAGTGTTTTTTAACAGTTTTTCCCACAAAGCTTTGACTGGTGAAGAACAGGCGACAGTTGCTGTTTGCACAGTTCTGTTTTCACTTACATTTTTTAAATTCTTGTCATAAAAGCAAATTCAATTGACTATAATTCATTATTGAAAAGCAAGAAAATAGGAAAACTTCCAAAGGGATTAATTACTTTAAACAGGCGCTGTATTTCAGTCATACATGTTCAAACCAGAAAAAAATATGTCAGCCCCACCTCGCAGGTTGAAAGGATGGGTTCCTTAGGTCTGTTACATATGAAGCCCCAGAAGTCTGACTGTATGTTTCTGAAAGGCAGCTATGATGTTGACTGCTTATTTCACTCATGATTTGTCTTCCAGCATATAAAAAACAAGCACCATATGTTCATGTTAACAAAATAAAGCACATGCTTTTCACCAGAGGGAGTCTTTAAAGGATAAGCCTGGCAATATTTTATTTTTTTCATATTGTCAACAAATCTAATTAAATAAAGAAAACGGGCCATAAATTAAATCCTCTGTATTGCAGAGCTCCATTGTTGTATAAATACTGTTAAAAATAGCAGAAATGTTCCTTCACTATTGTGCTATGTTTGAATCAGTCCCACATTTTCCATCTTGGTCGTGTACTGTAAACACTTGTTGGCCTTAATATGCAGCAGGAAATACGCCCCATTAAATGCACTTCACAACATTAGTTTTTATTTTTTTAAACTACATTTCCCAGCCTCCCACCTTTTTAACAATGAAACTGTATATGCATGAACTGTTTTTAAAGATTTACACGTTACGGCTGGGCGCCAAAATCAGCGCATGAAGCACGGAAAGCATTGAGAGGCGGACTAATGTCTTGCCAGAATAACAGCAGCCTTATTTATGTTCTTGCAGCGTTCATAGACTGTAATTTGACTGTACTATTTGAGTCATACAGCCTACTTAGGTTACATAGTCAAAGGAACATTGTGTACTGAATGTTTTGACATGAAGTACACCTAATAAGCTTGTATTGTTCTTGAAAATAGCTACTCATAGTTAGTATCAAATTATACAGTGTGTTTAAAGGAAGAAATAATGGCTAAGAATGGATATATACTAATTATTATTGTGATGTCTGCTCAGGATGTTATCAAAGTCCATTACGCCCTCCTGCGAGCCATCGACCTCAGCATGGTCAGCGGAGGAAGTGGCCTGGGGAAGATCTTCCTCGACTTTAAAGAAAGGTAAGAGTCTCTTCTGAGAGCCTTCTACGTTTTCGCGCCCGTTTCGCAAAACATCACTCAAGAGCAAACGCGAGCGCGCCGACGCTAAGAGCCTCTTATCATCAGCTGTCCATGGTGCTGAAGAGGAGGATGTGGTGTGCGTTCGGTACACAGATGCTGTACGCGGTGTGTGTTCATGCACACGCTGCCTGGTTTTTCTGTTCCGGACGTGGAGTGTGTTAAAATCCACTTACGGTTGAGAGGTAGTGGCATTTTTCTGCCCTTTCGAATTTAGGAAAGCTGCATCAACTGGAGTATCCAGAGATCAGTGGGAGGATTGAAGGGATTAGTGTTCAAAGAATAAGGCAATTAAAATGAAACGTGTTAGTGGAAAAGCTGAGAGAGCATGCAAGCGATTGTTCTTCATTCAAGCGAAACCATCCGAGTATTTACTCTTAAGATTCCTTTACGTTAGTCTCTCCACTTTCCCAACCACTTCGGTTTTACTCTATAGTCTTTGCATTTGTTGTTCAGTATTCCTGAAGCTAACTCCATTCAGGTTTAAAACATATGTGGCCTGTTGCAATGTTAATATGGTTTACTTTGTTAACCCTCTCATGTTTGGCTCAAGTCACATTTCTGCTCATGGCAGCTCATTTTTTCACTCCAATATAAAGTCCCACATCTCTATAAAAACACCACAACCATGGCTAGAAGTAGAGAGAACTGAAACATACCTTCTGTGCAGCATAACAAAGATATATTGTATTAAATCATTAAAAAGAGAAAACAAAAGTGGGATTTCTTTGATGATTCACTGTATAAAAATAATTTAAAAAAAAAAAAAACCTTGAATCAACATGTATTGCATTTTCCCACGTGCCCGCAGGTGTTGCTAAGAGGAATTATGTCTGTACATACTATAAATATTGTATTGCCTAAATTATTAATTCGCTTCCATACGTTACTCCTGTCTGCTCTGTTTAAACACAGCCTGCAGTTCAGCTGAAAAGTGCCTGAACTTGTTGACTCAGTAATTTTTTTCCCATGCTATATGACAAAATAAAGTGTAATTGATAAAATATCCCAATTTTAAGCTTAGATTTGGTTGATTTGAAAGTTGCACATGATTATTTCAAGGACCACCAAAAATGCTGGTGATTCCTGTAATTAATTACTGTGATAAATTCTGTAATTTGATGATTTTTTAATTTTTTTTTTACTTTTTAAATGCCACATCTCTCACATCCAGTGAGTTGTGGTGTTCAAATGGTTAAAACAAATGACAAAAAGTGCAGTAAAAATACTTCACGTTTCCTGCAAATCAGTCTTACTTCAACCGCATGTCTTATCTGTTATCTTTTAAGTGCAAAAATGTTCCTTTGGTTTAAAGAAAGTAATATTTTGGGACTCTCTTCTAGAAGTTATGACAGAAATCACCTGGTAAGAAGCAGGTTAGAAAACACAATGAATGGGGAGAGTTATTGGCAAAAAAAAGGGTCTTTCTGTCAGATGATCTCCGTCTTGCCCAGCTGTGGAGCAACGTGTGGATAATTTGCATCCCTGAGGGGAGCAGTGATTCGCCTTCCCTGCTGTGATAAGTGCGACCGCGTCACAGGTAATGGGAATGATGGCGCTGATAGGTTCTGGCCTCGGTTATGATTCCATACGCAGCTATGGATATGCCACTCACACCTCGAATAGTGCTGCCATTACTGCAGGACTGAGTCACACACTGCGCTGTACATGTGTATGCAAGTACCTGTTCTTGCATTTTCCTGTGCTCATGTTTTTATTCTCTCCTTCTGATGCGTCCGCTCTGAAACAACACTTCTGTTTGCGTAGGTAACAGGCTTGGCGCTGGCTTCTTCCTCGAGCCTGGAGGGCCGTGTAACACAAAGTTGGTGTGACACAACGGACTCTATTCTCGCTAATAGACAGCGGCAGCCACATATTCTCTCCCTCTATCTCACACTCGCACGCTCACGCTGTTTCTTCTTCTTCGTTAAGCTCGTCCGACTCTCTGATCTGATTGGGCGGCGGTTGGAAATCTTCATTTGCATGCAATCCCAGATAAGGTCCGGATAGTCCAAAGGTCCATGCGAAAGGACTGAGAGGTTGTCACATGCCAAATTAAAGGATGCAAATGGAGCAGCAGAAACATAGAAAATGCTACAGTTCCATCAATTGTAGTGTTCATTAAGTAGATTTGGAGAGTTTGTTTCTGTCTTTTTGAAGACTGTGGGGCTAATTTAGTTTTTCTGTTGCTGTCTCGCGTCCAGGATAATTTGGGTTTAGTGGATTATTATTTAAGAGTAATATTAACCTTAAAAAAAATAAACCAAAGATATCATTGGCCATGTAATTACAGCTACACAAGAACATTCTCGTTCATGATGGTTGAACATTTCATTCCAAAACCATGGGAATTAATACGCTGCAATAACAACCTCCTCTGTTCTGGGAAGTCTAGATTTTGGAACATGCCTGCTGGGATTTGTCCTGTTTAGCCACTAAGGCATTAGTGGCGGCTGTAGATGTTACATGATGAGGCCTGGCTCAAGGTCGGTATTCCAGTTTGCCCCAAAAGTGTTGGATGGTGTTGGGGGGTCAGGTCTCTGCGGAGGCCTGTCAGGGTTTTTCACACCAAACTGGGAACATTTGTCTGTGAGGAATCAGCTTTGTGGTGTGCACAGCCCCATCTCCCCAAATAATTACCATTATTATTATTATTATTGGTTCAATCAACTGAAATCTTGGTGCTACAGTATTTAATTACCCTTTTGGACTGCTTCTGAATCAGGTTTCAAGATGACGCCCTCCAAACTCGATCTGCATTCCGTTACATTCTCCATCACATTTCTATAGAAGTAAACTGCATTCTCAGTTACATTTTGAAAGGGATTTCTTCCAGATAATATTAAGTTGTGACATATCTCTTACTGCTCTACTGTTGCTTGTTTTCAACCAACCAATTCATGAGATGGGGAAGGCTCGTCGTCCAGATAATCCGGGAAATGTAGAAGCTTTAAACTTGTTATAAAAGGGTCATATTTTAACCCAAATTGCTCTATTTTCCAAAAACCTAACCACCTAATTTTGCTGCCTAAACCTAACCAGAGTGAAAAGCAAATGTGAACAACGAGTGAGAGCGAAACATAAGAAAACAATGCTGGTCCAACATGAGGCACAAACCTCCTGAGTGAAATCGATGTTGGTGACTTGTAGCAGCCTGGTCTCTAAAAAACTACATTTCTTAATAATTAAACTGTATTCCAAGGTACATTTTGTACTCTCTTCCAGATTGCTTTTTTTCACATTTCTTTGCCATTAGTTTTACTGCGTCTCAGTCATTCCTTTTCATGCAACCAATCACGTTACATGGGATCACCGTGGTAAGCTAGAAAATGAAGGCAACGCTTCAAAGATAGATCATATTTACTCCAAACCAAGGCCTTTTTCCAAACTTTAACCAATTACTTTAAGACCCTTAGGACTAAGTTTCAAACATGTGCAAGTATTTAACAAAGTGTGATATTTTCCTAAACCTAACCATGTAGTTTTTGTGCCTTAACCTAACCAGAAAGCAAGTGAAAACCAAAAGTAATTTCGGGATGCTAACTCTGGTCATGTGGGTGACATCTGGGTGCTGGTTAACGCTACCATCCACCCCTCCTACCTCCTAACACCGACTGATTGACTGCTCTTTTAAATTGGATGCCTTTTCCACTAAATTACTGGTCACTGGTTCCCAACAAACTTGGGTTTCTTTCCAAACTTTTTTGAGAATGTAGTTCAGTTGTATCAGAACATGATTCTGTGCAGGCAGTGCCATGATCTGGCCCCTGTATCTCTTAATGTGGGCTTTGTGGCTTCTTCAAACTGGAAGCCTTGAGGGTTTCTTTCCAAACATGAAGTGAGAATTTAGTTTAGTTGCATAGGACCATCGTTTTCGGAACACCTTGTTAGTTGGGTGTCATCTTGAAACAAGACCCAGAGTTGTAAGCGCACAAAAGCAAACTGTAATTGTATCCTGTGGCATCAAGAGCTTCAATCGTGGGAGCAAAGAGGTGCAAAGGTGCACATAAAGTCTGCCGGGTTGTTTCATAAAGGACTTTTTCAAACCTCTGATCTGTGACAGAAATATCTAACATTTACCTTCCATTCATATACAAATTTGCAGATGACACACCGCTCATTGTTGGTATTTTACCTATTCGCGACATTCTCCGAAATGCAACACGGGGGTTATTTTAAGATTCATTAGATTTGCAGATTCAGTGCGTCACCGGCTTTCACTGTCTGCGTGTGATTGACATGTATACCGTCCTCATTATGAGCGTCCTTCCGCTCCGTGGCGATAAACAACAGTGACCGGGGGGGAGGATTTGGACTCGCACGGCAACACTCCCTTCATGCGTCCTGGCAGCTTTCCCGAGGACCTGGCTCGGCATAATTAATTTGGTTATCTATGCTTGTAAGTCCCTGTGACCTTTACAACAATGTGCTTGTATCTTTTTTTTATTTTTTTTTATTTTTCCCACGTCGGTGCGAGAGATGAAAAGCTTTTTTTGTGTGTATTTGTCATTGAGCAGAATGCCACGCTGAAAATGTCACCGGTTTATCTTCTCAATTCTTAAGCAGCCAGACCCGGGCTGAGTGGGAAAGTGCACTCAGAAGAAGCTCTATAAACTAAATGGGCATCTAAGTGCCCTCTTGTTGATATACTCATTTGCGACATTCCCCAACTCATTTCCGGAGTAATCTGGCTCCCAGATATCCATGCAGGGCCTAATCACGGCTGCACTATGAGCCTCTTTAGTGGAGGTTTCTGCTCTACGTTCTCCTCCATTTGCTGTGTGCAGGATATGTTGAGTGGAGGTGAGGGGGTCCCAACGCCATGTGTCAGAGAATATTAGCTGGCTCCACAGCCTGTCACTTCTGGTTTGCGGGGAGATTTCCTCAGTCGGTCGCCCGGTTTGGCTCGCAGGGCTCCATGATGATGTGGGGGGGCAAAAGGCCCAGGGCACAGTTTCTCAAAATTGCATTTTCTGTGAAATAACATGCACGAAAGCATCCTCATTATGGAGGAGACCAGCACAGCAGGGCGATATTAGCTGAAACTGAAAAGAATAGAAGCGTGACGGTTTGCTGCAAACTCTCCAACCCAAAGGAAAACTCTCTGCTATTTAGAGGTCGCTGCTTTTTTGTACCGTTTTTTCTTGTAAGGAAACTGCTTTTTCGCAGTTGGACTGACCAGTTAAAAGGTCAGCTTTTTTGCTTCATTTACTTGTGTCACCATACAAATTCCTAAGAACACTTTAAAGTTTAGCATTCGAAAAACTTCATGGAAAAGAGCAAGATTTGAAAAAAAAAGAGAATATTTTACCCTCATTTAAGGTGGTTTTAAATGGTGCTACCATCTATTTCCTGTTGTGAATGACCAAGGTCTGTTTTATGTTCTTCTCTGAGTTTTTTTTTAAGTAGCTGGCAAACATTTGGAATTGTTTGTGGCTTCTTTTAATCTGTTTATTACAGCCATTCGTAACGTAGCTGTCTATCAAACTAAGCAGTGGAGTTTATTTGCCCCAAAGCAACGAGATTAATTTGCATTTTCTTTTCTTTTAATTATTTGCATCACAAAAGCTTGTATTAAATATGCTTTTAAATGTTATATATATATCACTTTGTCTTTTTTAATGAGTTTCTTCCCTTTTCTAAGGAAACAAAAACTTGTTTACAGTGTTATTTATTTGTATCATTACTACTATTTTTTTTTAGCGTTTTCTTTTTTATTATTTTTCTTTCTTTTTGTGGCACATATCTATAGCTACGTATCTTCACTCATCAACTGGTCTTTTTTCAATTCAATTCAATTCAATTTTATTTGTATAGCGCATATTTACAACAACAGTCATCTCATAGGGCTTCACAAAGGCAGAAACAGAAACACCCAACAATCCAAAACATTTGGATTCCCTATAAGCTTCAGCAGTCCGCAAGCAGTCCGCAACAGTGGGAAGGAACCGAAAACCCCCACAGGGGAAAAAAAACCTCCGACAGAACCAGGCTCAGGGAGGGACGGCCATCTGCCTCGACCGGTTGGGTGGATGTAGGATAAATTATACAATGTAGTTTACAGTTAAACAAGTTATAAGTCTTTTTTGTTACCACATTTTTCTTTTTCATTATTTCTAAGAAGAAAATCAACATTTCGTCATATGCATATTGAAACCTTGGAAACAAGTTGCTGTTTGGCTTCACTAGTCCCACATTGTGACATTTGCTTTTTTTTATGTTAAAAACGGCTTGTATGGACTACCTTTGTAATTGTAATTTATTTAAGATTTTTAATCCTGAACTCAGCGTTAATTGATTTTTTTTTCTGTCTTTTCTAGTGTATAGCCAACATAATTTATAGTAGATTGCAAATATTTAAGCAGTAATGTAAAGGTGCAAACAGAGCTTTCCACAGTTCCACATCGACTCCGAGTCCAGACGCAGTGTCAAGAAAAGAGTGTCTTATCACTGTGTCATGGACTAATTACAGCTGAATGGGTGGGAAGAGTGGATGCAAGCTGCAGTGTTCCTGTGTGTCATTAGCTGTTTTGTTCCGCTGCCTGTCTTAAAGAAGAGCACAAAGCTCCCAACTACTCTCTCAAGATCCACATGAAAGGCGGTTATTAAATGCGTTCTTGTTGCCACACGACACGGCATCTGAGCATCCGGTGTTTGTTTGACTGGCTGAGTGATTTTCTGACCTTGGGTGTGATATTTTGGTGCCAGAAAGGGATGTCTTCCCTCCCATTCTTTTAAATAGATTTACTGAGCAAATTACTGTATTATTTTTGATACATAAAGTTTTTTTACAGCTGAACACGCAAGTAGTATGAGACAAATAATTGGATAATGCTGTTGTACCTTACATTTATTGTTTAATATGTCAACATTTATAGGACTTTGTGAAAAAAATCATGCTGTAATATATTTTTTGAGTTCCATAAATCAAACTTCATCCATGCATTATGACTTAATTAGCTCTGGTTTGATCTCCACCGCCTCTTTAAGCCTCCATATATTCAACTCGTGCCTTTTGGTATTAAACAGGAATCATGCACGACTTAAAACAGCTGCCTACCACCTTGAAAACAACAAATTGAACAAGTGTTCTGCGAAACCAAAGCTATTAGCTAAAAGAGGCTGGAACATATATTCACAAGAACACACACATTAAAAAAGGAAAAAATAAAACCATGGCCACCTTTTAAACCCCAGCCAGCCAGATGAGCAAACAAATTTCTCTTTTAATCATGTTCGTGCACTTAGTTCTTGTCATTGCTGCGAGAGGAGCATAATTTGGTCCTCTTTCAATAGATTTGCTTTATTAAGGCTGATGAATATGAATGCAAACTCAACAAGATCTAGCCTTCGCACAAACAGGCTAATGAACAATACTGAGCGTTTTCCGTCTGCGTCGCCTCCGGAGCGGCCGCTTCGCCGTCATTTTGTTGCTAAAAGTTTGAATAATTCCTTTAATCACATCAGCTAAAAAGCTCGATTTGTGATTCCACACCAGAGGTCCTTTAGCATTCCTGTCATGGACCAGCTTCTTAAGGAAAAAAAAAAAGAAGCCCTTCATTACAGATTATGTCCTGATAACTTACTATATGATTTGTGTCTCTGGCCGCCACGCCGCTCGGTCCGCCCGCTGACTTATAATTGATCACGGCTCCCATTAATCTCAATCACTTTGTCGTCCTGGAGGAGCGGGAGCTGAGGGGAGCTGTCTCCCCGAGTGTGGATCAAGTCTTAATCAGGGCCTTGTTAGCTCAGGGCTTAGCCAGAGCAGGAGCGTCGCTGCAGGGGGGGGGGGGCCTCCTCTCCAACCTCCGCCCGGGCTCCAGCAAAACTCCACTGATCATCCCCCTGGTTGATCTCTGCGGAGCCGAGGATGATCATCTGACGAATGGCTTTGACAGGAATGCAGTGTTCAGAGCTCCACCTCTGGCAAAACATGACACCGACTCACGGCTTTGACACTTTAGACACACCGCTGGAGTCGAATTATTCATTTAAAGAGATGCCTTTGCATTAACATCGGAGATCCACTGCACTCGAGTGTTTTGGGAGCAACATATTGACAGTGTGGAACTGATAGGGGAGTTTTAATTTTATGTCTGCATTTGCTTTAACTAACGGCGTCAAAACATGTCAATTAATGCACCGGGAGTCAATTAGGGGTTGTGTAGATTTCAAAAAAACGCCATGTGGTACACAAACACTCCAGTTTAACCAATTATTTTTAATTTTGTTACTCATCTGGAGAGATTCTGTGCATAATCAGCTCCTATTTTTTCTCCCCCAGATCCTCAAAGCTGACTCAGGAAGTTGTTTATTGTAGAGTCCACTTGCAAGAGGGAAGAAGACTATATACAGGCCCGAAAAACCGTTTAAACAGACCTGCAGCTTTAAAGAAAAACATGCAAATTTTGTCAATGAAGCCATGACAAACAGTAAACCTTGTGTGAAACGTAGACATAACAACATAGCGTGTGCTTTGTTTCCTGTTTGCACCGCTGCTCCGTTATGCAAACTTTTGCCCGGTCGCTCTGTTTGCAGTGTTGCACCACAGATCTAACAGAGGCTTGATTAGACTTCGGGGTGCCAGCTCTCTGCACCGCCTCGCCTCGCTCAAGATTCAGATTAAGAGGCCGACGTGCCAACTCCGCCGCGAGGGGATGGTGGGAGAGGAGGGCGGCGGCGGCGGCGGTGGTGGGTTTGCACTGCACCAGCCATGCCAATGCCCTACTTTGCCTCAGTGAGAGGAATGTGTGCCACGTGCAGCGGCATCCTCCGGGCGAGATGACTTTGAACTCCCTCCCAGCCGAAACCCGCAGATCTGTGTCAGTGTCCCATTGTAATATCTAATGAACGCGGCTCTCATATCCTCACCGCCCGAAATTAAGAGATTTTTTTTTTCCTCTCTCTCTCTCTTCTCCTCACACGCTGATAAGAGGAACTCTGCAAAGATATAAAGCTCCATCTTTCATTAGTTCTCTGTGATTACAGCTTATTGGCGAGAGGATGCCGCCCCTTTCCAAATATTGCCCTGGGAATCAGAATACCATTATACATTCATTCACATATTCATGCAGCTGCCCCCCTATAGTGCCGAAACACTCCTACGCTGACCTCTTAAATTAGGTTATTAATCTTAAAATTAATGTGCGGTACGTTGCCTACAGGCTCCAGCTAATTGTCGACTCGCGCGGTAATCTCAGTTTTATCAGTGTTTTTACAAAGATATTATATATCTTCAAGACATAAGAAGAGCCTTATTAGTCCCTATTAAGCCTCTTTTCTTTTGATTGTGAACGATACTCTGAGGTTCACACAGGTATTTTCCGGCCATACTCTCAGAGGACAAGCAAAAAACACTAAATGTCAGCTGCAGATTTCGCCTAAGTGATGTTAATGTTTCATAATTTGGAGCTCGTGTGCAGCTACAGTGTTGTGAGTAAATGCAGTCATCAGCTTCAAAGGGAAATGACTCTGATTAGCAAGCCAAGCACTTCTATAGGTTCTGTCAGTATGTTTGCGGTTTGTGGAGCCTTTATATGTTTTGTAAATGTGCGTTTAAGATCCTTCAGAGAATGATGGCGGTGATTGTCACCACATTACTGTCAGTCCTCTTTAATAATAACGTCTGTTTGTGTGACTGAACTGGTGTGTACTGGTTTGTCCCTTTGGGCTCTTACATGACCAGAACTGGTAGACGGATCAAACATAAGCAAGTATTGACAGCTATTTCTACAGTTTGCGTACTTTAAGTTGTCATTTCCCTGCATGAATTCCTCAAGGATGATGAGCTGTGACAGTGTTTTTTCTGAGTAATACTTGATTTTTTTTTCCCTTCCCCCCAGGTTGTTGATCTATGGTCAGTACTGCAGCCACATGGAAAACGCCCAGAAGACACTGGATGACCTAATAGCAACACGAGAGGATGTAAAGATTAAAGTAGAGGTAAAGTCTTGCTCACTCCAAGCAGCCGGCGACACGATTTCCATCTATCCATCCACTATATATACACAGCTTAAGCCTCACTAGGGTTGCCTGGGGGCTGGAGCCTCCCGATTTATGATTTTAAAACTGTATTATATGATTAATTTCAGGCAGACAGACAACAAGTGAGCAGGTAGAGTTCAGCACATCTGGCTGCTTATGTACCAACAAGAGGAACAATCTGCAATACGTGACTTTTAAAGGAACATTTTGGAGTTTCTGTTTGACAAAATGACTTATTTATGTCAGTTTATTGTAACACATTGGAATATGTCACCGATGAGGCAGCTGTTCCAGTGTGATACTGAGAAAAAGTCATATTCACAACCTGTTACATGTGCTTGCTGCAGTAAACATCAGTTCGATGAATGATGGTAAAAGATGAAATTACTTCAAAAAAATGAATAAATGCGGCACTGATTTGTCTTTGTTGTGCATGAACTGCGATGAAATCCGATGTAGCTACATGCAGAAACGGTTGGTTTCAAGCAGATTGTAGGAATTTGAAGTATTATTTGACCTTTTGCTTGTTTGAAAACAAACCACATGCATGAATTGCAGACTTGCTGGTAAGCACGACTCGGCCACCTGAGGATTTGAAACGTGAACCTTTTTATCCAACAGAGAAGGTGGTGTACTGACTGCACCGTCTCTGAGACATAATATTCTTCACAGCTTCAGTCTGGAGATGATTCTGACTCAGTTAAGGGAGACGAGATGTGGAAAATGTGTTTTTGAGAAAATCGAGAAAAAGTCGCAAAATTTGTCAGACCAACAGAGCAAAGATGAATTTCCAGATTGAAGAATGAATGTTTTCTCAAGCCATTTTTGTGATAAATGCAACAACATAAACTTGATTATTGCAGCACCACCTTGAGGTCAAGTTGTCATTTTAGCTGCGTGAGTAAGTCACGTAATGTACAGCATATCAGCCCATTTTGTTGTTTCCAAGTCTTGCGGTTTTTGCTGTCCGAATACTTTCAGTGGAGAAAATAAAAGAAGATGAAGAAGAAAACGGGGCTGCAGGGTGGCACAGTTGGTAGCACTGTTGCCTCGCAGCAAGGAGGTTGCCGGTTCGCGTCCCGGTGGGGGCACCGGAATCTTTCTGTGTGGAGTTTGCATGTTCTGTTTGTGGGTTCTCTCCGGGTTCTCCGGCTTCCTCCCACACAGTCCAAAAACATGTTGAGGTTAATTGGTGATTCTAAATTGTCTGTAGGTGTGAATGTGAGTGTGCTTGGTTGTCTGTCTCTAAGTGTAGCCCTGTGATAGACTGGTGACCTGTCCAGGGTGTCCCCTGCCTTCGCCCTAAGTCGGCTGGGATAGACTCCAGCCTCCCTGCGACCCTAGTGAGGATGAAGCGGTGTATAGAAAATGGATGGATGGATGAAGAAGAACACTGTGAACAAAGTTGACCCCAGAGCTATTTAATCTGTAATATTTAACCTTATCCTGTAGGCATCATCTTGTTCATCATGTTATATCTACGTAACATTTTTTAAAAAAGAAATGTTTTTAATACATTTATGATTCACATCTGAGTGAGAATCCATTTCTGCTGTCAGACCTCGCTCCTTGTTCTCTGCTAATATTTTCTGAACGTTTTGTAAACCAGGACTTTTTGGAGGACTCTCGTAGCAGATGAATTAAGGCACATCAGCGGTTTGTATGGGCAGATAAATAGATGTGGGAGCTGGGAAACAAACAGAAAAAAAGACGGTAATTACAGCCTGAGATACTGTCTCTCAAAATAGAAGAGCTTTGTATCAGGATAAATCAGCTTCTCACTGTGTCTTTAGAGAAAAGGCTTGTTTGCAAAGCTGCATAAGCCGTCGCCGTTGCCGCACAGTTGTAGAAACTTGCCTAAAGAAACACCTACGCAACCCTCAGCCTTATAGGATGATGCTCACAAAAGACGGTGTCTTATGGAACCAATGCAGAGTTTATAGAAATGTAGTCATTAGTCAGAAGAATTCCTCAGCCAAGTCTAATTGTGTTGCAAACGGCTTCTTGCACAACCGGAGCCTTTGTGCCCTGGAAGAATAAACCGGCCTCGTTGTTGCTAATGGAATGCCTCGTGAATGTGTGGAAGCAACAGCAGCAGCAGCAGCAGCAACGCAACAATGAATTATTAAATAACGGATGAATGCTTGTTAGTAGGAAATGTACAATGCTGCATTATGCAATGCCTAATAACCGGCCCGCTGTTTGTGTCGTCGCTCTCGCAGGAATGTACCATGAAAGTGCAAGAGGGGAAGTTCAAGCTGCAGGACCTTCTGGTTGTTCCCATGCAGAGGGTGCTGAAGTATCACCTACTACTGAAGGTAGGAGACATCTGCAGAACCTACAGAGTCCTTTTTGACAACTGTTTAAACCTTGTTGTGAAGTTTCAGAGCGTCATTTCCCTTCCGTTGGAGTCTCTTTGAATTTCTGCGGTTGGATATTGGACAGGTCATAAAGAAGTGAGGTCTTCATCTGCTTTGATGAGCGAAGCAGATGGAAATCTTCACTCATCTTTTAAATATCAAACACTCTGGCCCCCCTGTAGGTTTGAAACGCTTCTCTGAAAAGTTTGCAGCTTCCGCGTGGAGGGCGGCGGCGGCGGTGGCTCAGTTGGGTTCTCAGTGGTTATCAGGCAATCTGAACGTTGTCCCAGTTTCACAGCGAAAAGAATGAAACTTCTCTAATCACTTCTGCTGCATTATCCACTTTATTGGCTTCCCAAAGCTCCAAAGTACAGAGAAGAAGCAGCATGTTCAGTGATGTGTTTATAAAGCAGCCACTGACTGGTTTCATCCATGGTTTCACTGACTACTGCACTTCTTCTGAGGTAATTTTTTCAGGTAAATGCACCAAAGTTTCAGTGCATTATTTCAAAAAGGGAGGACAGATGCTTTCTTCTGAATCTTTGAAGTTAAGGGATCCATGAAGAAAAAAAAATCTTTGATCAAAAGTATGACACAAAAAAGTCTTATTGTAATATAGTACAAGTAAATTAGAGTCATGACGAATGACTATTTTATTTGTTTGGTCTTTAAAATGTCAGAAAACTGTGAAAAATGTGAAATATTTACAAAGATGGCGTCCAAAAAAGTCTTGTATTGTCCAAAGATATTCAGATTACTGTCATGGAGGAGAAAAAGCTGGAATCAGAGACTTTTGTATTTCAACTTTTCAATTATCAAAATAGTTGGCAATTAATTTACAGTAATAGTTGACAGCTGATTAATTAATCATTGCAGCTTTACTTTAAATGTACAGTAGGTTCACAGTTGTTCAAGTATGTCTTCAAACAGTAGTCAGATGAGCTCATGAACAGTTTTTTCCTGCTGTTATTTCTTCTTCTCTTCATACTGTAGCTACTGGACATTTAAAAACCCTTTTTTTTCAATGAAGTCATAAAAGATAAAACCCACAGTATCTCTTATGTGTAAAATATATTCCAAAGTTTGTCTGAAGCTCATATAAAAGTCTGAGTTAGTCTAATGAACTGTCTTCAAAATGAACTGTCTTTTTCCCTTTTGGTGTCTCGATACAAAATGTTTCCTTCCTGAGTTGCACTGAAAGAAAATTAGTATGAAGCAGATACCTACAGTATGTCCTTGTAGAACTTAATGGTTACCTGCAGTACAGAACATTACACTGCAATCTTCCTTTAAATGCCTCCTTCCTTTAAGTGTCTTCTCTTTTTTTTTTAATCTATAGAAACATTTCTTGTAGCCTACTACATTCCGGTTGCTCTCTTCAGCTCTGGCAAACCAGTCATCGCTGGTTCACTTGAAATGTACCGCTGCCAATACACCAGTGTGAGAATGTCACCATAGAAACTAGATTTGAAACTGACATACGGACGGATCTACCTGTCGCTGATGGGCTTAATCAGGATTGTGTGAACTCATTCAGTGAAGGCTTTCATGTGATGGACATTCATTTATATGTAGAAGTCCTGCACTTTTGCTTTGAGACTGAGGAAATATTGATAAAAAGTTATTTTTAAAGTTGGCCGTTTGCTTGCTAAGGAAAGAAAAAAGGCCTTTTAGATCATTTTCTGTCTTTTAGGTGTCTTGAATAGCTTTCTTTCTGCATTAGGCAGTTTTGTTCGTCCGGTTTAATGTACATAATCTATATAATTTATTTGGGCTAATTTGATTTATTCCAATGGACTGAATCCAACTTCATTCAATCAGGTTGGTCCAACAAGGGGCTGCAGGGTGGCGCAGTTGGTAGCACTGTTGCCAGAAAGTTGCCGGTTCGCGTCACCGGAATCTTTCTGTGTGGAGTTTGCATGTTCTCCCCGTGCAGCGTGGGTTCTCTCCGGGTTCTCCGGCTTCCTCCCACAGTCCAAAAACATGTTGAGGTTAATTGGTGATTCTAGATTGTCTGTAGGTGTGAATGTAAGTGTGTTTGGTTGTCTGTCTCTAAGTGTAGCCCTGTGATAGAGTGATAGGTGTCCTCTGCCTTCACCCTAAGTCAGCTGGGATAGACTCCAGCCCCCCCACGACCCTAGTGAGGATTAAGCGGTGTATAGATAATGGATGGTCCAACAAGTTGTACAGTATTAAAAATTAAATTACATTCCGAAGTTGAGTCGACCCGAGGACCAACAGAGCTGCTTAATGCTGAAAGTGTAACGTAGTCGCTTAAGATTCGAAACAGCCAACAGCAACAAACCTGAGTTATTAGTCAGGAATTCATTTATATCAGAAAAATGGCATGTGTTTCTCAGAGTATTGCTTCTTCTAAATGTGTACATTTGCAGCTTTTGAGCAGATCATATCATAATGTACAGGACTCCTTTGTTGTTTTTTTTAAAACTAATAATAAGCTACTTGTAGCTTATTTATGATTTCCTCGTATGCAAATGCGTTTACGTGGAACGTGTGACCGCTGACTGAGCAGCCAGCATTTCACCCTGGAGCTCTTCCTCGTGTTCATTTCTATAACAAGCTGGCCGCTGTAATATTGCCCATGATTAATTGTTTTCGCATCTCAATTATGGATGAGCATGTGAGTTTATGATGCGGTGGGTAATGGACGGGTGGAGGCCGGTGTTTGCGTCAGGTGATTGCAGGTCCGCGCCGGGGAAGCGCTTCTCGATTAGATTGAATCGAACCCCTGCAGGAGACGCAGCGAGCCACTGAAGTCAAATCAGCCGTGCGCTAATCAGATTAAATGCACCCCATTTCACTGCTTCCCACAGCTTTGCAGGGAAACACTGCGGTATGCTGGCGGCCTCGGGGCATGTCACACTGACAGATCCTGTTTTTTTTTTGTTTTTTTTCTGTGTGTCCAGCATCCAGCAATGCCTCAGGACACATCTTCAGCCGATGTTGAATAGATATCATCACAGGGGTGTGTCCATGTTTGGTCAAAGTGTGCATGGCTCTTTTCATCTTTTATGTACTGTAGCTGCACTCTAAATAAAGTGAATTCAGCACAGTCATCTTGGACAGAATCCTCCTCAGGCAGGGTTTGAATATTTAATGAATGTGTGAGGTTTTAATAAAGCCATCATCATACAGTATCTTTCATCTAAAGTTTGAATTTTTTTTAAGTTTTTCTTTTTTGGCCTTTATTGGATAGGGACAGCTGAGGAGAGAGAAGTGCTTTAACAACTTAGACCTCTTTCATCTGAGTGTTGAGACGAGTACTGCCACTTTTCGGAAATAATTCGCCTCGCTTGTGCAAAAAATAACAGACGAGCGTTGAAAAGATTTGCAGAGTCAGAAGGTCATCTGGATGGAAATCAGCTCAGCTGAAGTACTGTGCTGTTGTGCTGGTGGAGAGCCGGCTGCCCTCGTGTCGTGCCCTCTGGTGAAACTCATTGTTAGTGGGTGAAGGAATCAGCAGTGACAGCGACTGCGGTGACATGAAGATATTTTGATTTGTAATGTCAGGAAAAATACCTGTGTGGCAAATTCTATTAATAAATTCTGCATTGCTTGTGAGTTTATTTTGCTCCTCCGGGGTCCTGGGATTGCACACGGTGTTGTAATTACGTCTGGGCTTTTGTGCATTTCTAAGTGGTTAAAAATGGGGACTGGTATTACAGAAACATGAGAGGAAATGTGGCAAAAGTTCAACGCCGCGTCAAGTTATCACGCTGCTAAGCCCAGAAAGCAACAGATAAATAATCACACAAAGAGTCCTATCTGCCACATTGCATTAGCTCAAATACTAACAGAATTTAGGTTAAGTTGTGTCCTTGTTGTTCCACTAAGTGAACCGAGTGAACTGCTTTGCTCGGCGAGGCAATAAAAAAATACTAACAGCAAAGTGTGGCAGAACTTTTAACACCTCTGACTGGATGATAATAGTGGCTGTTATTTTTGGATTTGGATGCAAATGTGAGATTCAGAATCTAAAGCGTTTCTGCACAACTCTGCCAAGATATCCTACGTGGACTAAACATGTAGCGCACATGGGAATTCTGCTGACGAGAAAGCATTCTTATTATTTACCATATGTTGTTCTGAAAGTTGCATCCTTCTGTTTGCTCTGTGGATTTTTTTTTTGTCATCTCGTGCAGCTTGACCGGACTTTAATTCTGCAAAGCGAATGTCAAAAAAACCACAGTAGCTTGAATAATGATGCATCACATCTGATGACACAGTTTTATTATTCTTAATGTAAAACTGCTGAAAACATGTCTGTCTTTTCCCGAGAAACATGATGCATGTCACAGCTGCTGTACGTTTTATAAATCACTCCAATGCAGGAGACAAGAGGCAGACAAAACCATGAAACATGTTCGTTATTGAAAAGCATTAAGGAGAACAGCATGATTTGCACGGAATAACATGTTTTCCATTATCTTATGATGTGAACAGCCAAACCTGGAGGCTAGTTTCCGATCTCTCTTGCTTTTTTTGTCTCTTTTATTTTTATGTATTTCGCAGTTGAACGGTTTTTCTCTGCCACATCAGTGTCACATCTGTAATCAAAGTAAAGAGAAACTGTGGCGTTCAGGGTTTGCATCATGTATTTCAAAGTGTTTCACACAGATGAGGATTTTGTCTTGACTTTTATGTTTTTAAAAAAATGACTAGCTTGAGAGTTTTTCAATGCACAATAACATTTTTTTAACAAAAAATATTAATGATTCCTCTTCACAGGAGCTTTTGAGTCATTCGACCGACCGACCCGAGAGACAACAGCTCAAGGAGGCTCTGGCTGCTATGGAGGTCTGTGTTGCATATGTGTTTGTATTCATGTGGAAAAAAATAAAAAAAATACGTAAGAAAGCTACAGTGCTTTAGGCCAAAGCTGTAAAACATACAGCCACTGTGGCTCGAAGGGCCATGAATGTGTAATATTGGCAGATGTCAGAAAGAATGTCGCTCTTCCAGGACCTGGCCATGTACATCAACGAGGTCAAGAGGGACAACGAGACCCTGAAAAAAATCAGCGAATTCCAAAGTTCGATAGAAAATCTTGTAAGTACTGTGGACTCGCTTCATTTTCATCTGAAAGGGAAACGTCTGCCGAGACTGTTCGACTTAAGTCGCGTTTGAACATCTTGAAAAAAACCTTCTCACGGCAGGAGATGGGATCTTACGCCATCATGCTGTTATCTGCCACACTTAGGAATGTTCCTGTTACTTCCCATCAGACCTGATAGATTGTATTTTCGAAGGCCTGGGAGGGAAAAAAAAAGGTGATGTGGAACATTTCCATGTAACAACAGCGAGCTATTAATATTCCAACTCTGATGACACTGATGCTCGTGTTGCCGTGGAGACCAGCTGTCAATCAGTCCAATCAAACCCACGTGGTCACGATTAAACACGGCCATGATCTACATTCATTTATGATAATGTTTCCTCAGCTCTTCAGTCCCTGTGTGTTATTGAGTCCTTCATTTATAGTATAATGTTGATGGGAGGATTGAGAGGTTTGGTGGGTGGGTTGGGGGGTGTTGTGTATGAAAAGTGCCAAAGAAATAACGTCTGACTGATTGATTGGTGCAAGTGGATATTTTTGATTTAACAATGGGGGTGTGTTTCCACATTTTCAAGCAATAGTATGATATTTTAGGAAATGCATTCATATGCTGATATCACTCTTCTTCTTCTTCTTCTTCTTCTTCACTCTTCTATCGCACCTCTCTATGTACACTAATTGTAAAGCTACAGCTCGTAGCTGGTTGGCTTTGCTTAGCACAAAACAGCTAGCCTCGCTCTTTTAAAGGATAAAAAAAACCTACTAACCAGCACCTCTGAAGCTCCAAAATGACCATGTTCAATGTTATACGTCATCTTTTTTTATTAAAGGTGAAATTGAGCGGCATTTTGTTGCCTTTTAGATGGAGCTATGATATCTGTTTACAGTCTTTATGCTAAGCTAATAGGCTGCTAGCTAAAGGCTCATATTTAATGGACGTCTATAAGCAACCCATCTGCACAAACAATCTACACAAGAGCTATTTCTGTTATCAGTAGTTCATCTCAAACACAAGAAACAGACTTTCTGGTGTATTTTTATGCTTTAAGTCTAAGTTTTTTATTTTTAATCACTGCAGGAGTTTTGACTTGTGTTCTAAAACTGTGGTAGCTGCTTCATTTAACTTAAGTTAAAAAGATTTTATTAATTTTTAATTTTTTTTTAATTTCAGTGTTTTGAATGTAGTGTATGAATTTAAACCAAAGGAACAACATTTCAGTACCGAGACTGTGTATACATTTGAAATAAATTGAGATCGGGAGGCTGGAGATATAACTAAACAAGGAGGGAGTTGTTCCCATCATACATCTGTGTGGATTCTCTTACATATGGTTTCTCACTAAAGTTGTGGGATGCAGCTAATTGACGCTATGTGTGTACTTGTGACCTAAGCAGCAGGTGAAACTGGAGGAATATGGGAGGCCAAAGATAGACGGAGAGCTGAAAGTGTCCTCTATCCTCAACAGAACAAAGCAGGACCGGTCAGTCCAAATTCTGCAGAAATACTCATATAATCCAATTTATCCCTGCCATATAATCAATGCATATGTGTGTGTTTTCAGGTATATATTCTTGTTTGATAAAGTGGTCATTGTCTGCAAGAGGAAAGGCTATAGCTATGAGCTCAAAGAGATTATTGAACTGCAGTCGTATAAAATGTCAGATGACCCCATGAACAACAGAGACATGAAAAAGGTAAGAAATCCGTCGCTTTTTTTTTTTTTTCGGTTTGAGAGCAGAACTACGGTGAGGTCTTTGTAACGGTGGCCTGACAAGCGCAGATGATGAAACAGTCCCGTGTAATCATTACAAATGTTGCCCTTGAGCTGAAGGAGCTTGTTGATGGTAATTTCAGACATGGAACTTATGCGTAATGCATTGAAGTGTCAAATGTGCGTTGTGCCCGTCCATGCTTGAAAGACCATGTAAATGCAATGAAGGTCATTTAGGATTCATGAAATCGTCCTGCAGTGCATCGCGCCAACCAATCTAACATGGCTTCTTTTTGTTTTGAATCTGCATGTCTGTCCATGTTTGCATGTGTAACTGGGTCTTTCTCTGGTGTCTTTCTTTTTGCATGCTTACCAGTCGAGTGGAAAAATGGTAAGCTCAAGTGACCCCTTTATTTAACTCATCTTTCTCATAGTGGCCTATTTTTAGCAGTGGTGTTTTTGTGGGTGTCATGTGATGATCGCACCGACCGCCTCTGTGATTGGCACTCCAGCTTTTGCTCAGATGCATCTTAAAAGCATGTGGAGCATCTTTTTTTTTCTAGTTTTGATCTAAATCGTATTTGCAGCATTGAAAACACATATTTGGAAGTGCTAGTATCAGAAGTTTCTTTACCCATCTTTGTCTGCCATTGCCAACCGCACATCTCTCCGCCATCTGTTCCTTCACTCACTTCTTCTCCCCAGTGGTCTTATGGTTTCTACCTGATCCACCTGCAAGGGAAGCAGGGCTTCCAGTTCTTTTGTAAAACTGAGGAGACAAAGAGGAAGTGGATGGAGCAGTTTGATATGGCCATGTGAGTAGGACTTGAATAAAATCTGTTTTGTATAATGAAAGTTTGAGTTGCAATGCAGTAGCTTTGCTGGAAATGTAATTGAAAAACTGTCTTTGGATAAAATAACCAGATAGGAAAAGTGTTGTTATCACGTTTATTTAAAAATTTCTGCAATTTCTTGTTCAAATCAACCCAACCGTAGTTATGTGGCAACAGAAATGTTACTTGTTGTCTTATCAGATCAGTTCACTTCATTCAGAATTGTTTGTTCGTCCAGGTCCAACATCAAGCCAGAGAGAGCCACGGCCAATCAGCACAACTTCCAAATGCACACGTTTGATAAAAACACCAACTGTCGAGCCTGCAAGATGCTCTTGAGGTAAGAACCCCTATATTTCCAGCACTGATGTGCATGCAGAGCCTTCATATTCTGCGGTTTACAGTGAATACATCCTCTTCCAGACTTTGCTTGGACCATGAAGCATTGGTATTCAGAGATTTCTTTCCCTGCATTATGTCCACAGTACGAGCAGATGCAAAAATACTGTAGGCTATATCAGCCAACCACTAGGAGTTATGTTCAAAGAGACAAAAGTTTCCAAATTGGGACTTTATCAACATCCACTTGAGCACCACCACCTCCCACCAACCACTGGTGTTGACCCCTGCCAATGGGCCTTAACGCTGCAAAGCAACATCAAAGCCATTTTCAGGCAGTAGGGATAATTTTTATGTGCAAAATGTTCTAAATATGTAACTCAGATACACAGAGATGAGTTTTTAGGTGGTCTAGCCTTAAGTACTCACCCTCAGAGGTGCTGGTAGATGAGTTTAGTTACCTTTATTCTGGCACACCGGCTGTATATTCCTGCCAGTTGCTGCATATTTGATGTGGCTTTCTCTTTCCCCTCCGCTATCTACATTTTACCATTTTCAAAATCCCCTTCAGTATGCAAGATAACAACAACCCCCGCAGGAGCAGCACTGAAATTTAAAGTATTGGTGAAGGTTTGGATAGTGAAATATGGTTGCTGGTTATTTTTTCCTTGAATTAGCTTTATTAATGATGCATGGACATATTAAAATAAAAAACAATCCCTTCACTTTTTTGAGTGAAGCTTTCACATCATCCTTGTCTAAGCTCTAGATGATTGGGATTTTTTTTTTATAGAAATATGAACAAGGCAACGCTTTTTTTTATTGCCCTCATAGCAGAATATAATGAGAGCAGCTTAAATATTAGGAACATTAAAAAAAAGAAAATCATCTTGTCCACCGAGGATTCTGACTTCTTGATTTAAAGAGTCAAAATTCTGACAAAATTTGTCAGAATTCAAATCTAATGGGTCAATATTCTGATTTAATGCCTCATAATCCTGATTTATTGAGTCAAAATTCTGATTTAACTAATAATCTTCACTTTATGAGTCCAAATTCTGACTTAATGTCTCAGAATCCTGACTTATTGAGTTATAATTCTGACTTATGTCATAATTCTGATTTAGTGAGTTAAAATTCTGACTTAAGTTACCGTAATTTAGGTTTGGTAGACATTAGACTTCAGTCAGTGTTTTGTCATGTTGACTTAGTAAATCTGGTTTTAAATGTAAGACGTCACATTTTTGAGCCACTGTCTTAACCATTCTCCACATCACTGTTAGCGCTAGAGAATAATCTGGCTATGAGAGACGTAGTTACCTTTGGACAGAATCAGTCTGTTTGTCTTTGTTTTTTTTGCATGCTGCAAGATTCTGTGGATTTTCTGCTTAATTAATCTGGATTGTAGTGGAGTGTTGTTTTAAATGTGCTGCAGAAATTGAAATTGTACCTTGAAATAGACAGTTTGAGAAAATGCATGTGTTGTCTGCTGTAGCACAGTGCTGTACATCAATTTAGTGTATCTGATGTAAAATAAGTGTTAAGTTAACAACATGCCTTAAGTAATTTAAATTTTTTTTTTAAGTGACAGAAGTCTATAAAACTCATGAGAAATTAATCCACATATGGTGAGCAACAAACAAACAACCAGACCTAAATCACAGAGGGGAATATGTTTTTGGCGAATGTAACCCCTCATCAGAGCTGAGATTTGGAAAATACTCCAGCAAGTGTGACTTTGGCAGACGGATGATATCTTTAAGCGCCCCCCTCTCCAAACACCACCCATCGAGCGCCACCACCTCTCACGTGAGGACGCTGCTCGGCTGCAGCGGGGGGATAACCCGTGTCACCGACTCACCATTTTCACCTCTATTACGGTCGGCCAGCTAAACTCCACTCTGTGTATTGACCCACAAATTTCATGGCTTTGCTGACCTAAATTCGCAGAGCCGGGTTGGTGGAAGCAGGGACCGGCGTTCTCACTCCCTGCTAGATGCTAATTACTGCTGCAGCCCCAGCGGATTCCAACGTGATTTATGGCACTCGCTATTCAACATGGCAGTGCGCGATGCATGCGGTGTTACACTATCCGTAACAAGTGCACTTTCTGGAGTCTTAAGTGGAGCGAGGTGATTTTGTGATTTTAAAAGAATTACAGCATAAAAAATGATGGAGGATGTGCAACGGCATCTGCAGCCTTATAGGAGCAAGCAGCGGGTCCCCTTGTGTGTTGTTCTTACAGGAGGTTAATTTGTGTCTCAGACACTTCCTGTTTGCATGACTGGAGTGTGTGTTTACGTGCGTGTGTTTGTGTGTCCTCTAGGGGCATCTTCTATCAGGGCTACTACTGCTCTCGCTGTGGAACAGGAGCTCACAAAGAGTGTCTGGAAGTCATCACCATCTGTAAAATCAGTAGGTGTCTCCTTTTAAGTGGAAATCCTCATTCAGCTTTAAGGGGTCAAATTGTAAAGATGAGCGACATTTATATGAAAATTGTGCAACATAAACCACGGATTGTACGTTATTAATAATGAGTGCTGTAATTTAAGCTGTCACAGAGCGCTCTCCTGTCTGTAGGCTTCTTTATCCAGCAGGAAAAGAGGGGGATGGGAAGGCGGGGCGGCTTTATTGTGTCATTGGGTTTGGTACCAGAGAGGAAAACGGCAACCAAGAGTCAGGAAGAGTCATGTGACTGTCATTTCATTCACTGCAGTGGAGTACAGACAAGATTATTTGCTCCAGGCGTTTAAACCTTTTTGCCTGCCGGTGGCTGCTTGTGACCCATCATGACAGATTCCATGTGTCTTTAATACGATACGACCAGTTTATGTTTTTAGAAGTCCAGAGAGATAAAATATCTGTCTAGTTTTTCACAGGCGAACAAAAAACAAAAGCAAAAAGCAAGAAGTTGAGACATTCCTATAAATATGCGTGTAATTCTGTGTAGCATAAATGTTTTTCCTCCTTCTCTGCTATCTGTGTAATCATCTCACAGCCCTCAGATTAATCTTGCAATGCCTTGAGGGATTCTCAACACTTAGCTCAGGAACCCAAGATTTCCTCAGAAGAAATTCATAAGAATCCTCGTCCTGTTTTCTCAAACTGGAGCCAGCCGAGTGCAGCTGACTGAGCCTAAACTTTATCTCGTTAATGTTTCAAAGCCTTTCACCACACGCCCTCGGTTCTTTAAGTAAAAGATCCTTAAATGCTGCAGTTAGTCGAGTTAAATAATGACACTTGACGGGGGCAGAGCTGAAAGCACAAAGATGGAACTGAATGCTGAGAAATAACGTGGCCACAGAGTAGAAAAGGAACCACGTAGTTAGAAGCCTTTATCTTCATCCATGGCCTTGTCACATCCACTATGTAACACTTGTAGAAGGACGACATGTGAAACTGTATTCTTGCAGCCAGTTTTGTTGTGAATCCTCCCTAACAGTCTCATATTTTTCGCATCTTGTTTCAGATCCTCTAGATTTGGTGAGTAATCAACACGTTACAGCATCCTCTCATTGAGGCTGTCTTTCCTTTTTAAAGAATCATCATTGGATTCCACAGAAGAAATGCTTTTTTTTTTTTTTTGCTGATGCTATCTATGACCGAGTGTTTACTTCTCTTTCACAGGAACCCGGAATGTCACCAGGTAAGAACTCTTCCAGGAACATACTGATAGAAAGCTGCATGTTATGTCAGCTGTCAAGTTTGTTTTGGAGTCAGCTGCTCTTGATGTGCGCAGCTCTCTCCTGCCATCTAGTGGGCATCTGTTGTATGACCCACAGCAACATTAGCAGCCCTATAGAGTGTGTGGGTGGCAGTGCATACTGTATACATGATATATAGATACTTGAAATTCAAAAACAAGCCGACCTTTGACAATGACGGATATGCAGCATTATGAAGTCGGCACAGACTGTTTGATATGCAGAGAACAAGATTGAATTTAGTTGTTCTCGGTCATATTTTCCTTGTAATTTCATGCATTTTTGCTTTGTTCTTCAAAGTCAACAGTAGAAAAAGGATACCGTGCAAAGAAAAGGTCCTGGACCAGACTTCACCTCAGGATGTTGTGTTTATATTATGTGTATCTCGCACCACGGTATCACTCGGTGGGCAAGATTTTTATGCAGAAGCAAAACAATCCTGCGTTATCAGCCCTGAATCAATACATTACATGCAAAATCCAAGAGGAAAATCCAAACCACCGTGAAATACGCTCCTTCCAGATAAAGTTAGACTCGCCTCTTGCTATCTACCAAACTGTTGCTCCCACTTATCTCTGGCTGTGTTTCCAGGTCCGAAGATGGTGGCGGTGAGGAACTATCACGGCACACCGGCGCCTCCGGGGAAGACGCCGCTCTGTTTTCAAACAGGAGATTTTATCGAGCTGCTGAAGGGAGATCCGGACACCACGTGGTGGGAGGTACGGCGGTCGTTTTTACTGAATCATCCTCCGATTTTGACGGGCGAAGAATAAATATTGAGACGGCTGATGCAGAGAACGTGTTGACTCCGAGGTCAAAGTGCTGATTTCCATCTATGCAAGAAGAACTTTTCTATAGAAAAAGAGCTACAGTTCCGACACACTATTCTGTCCAACGATTATGAAATCCAACTAATTAAGGCATTGTATCTCTGTTGTTTTATCTGCACAAAAACAACTGGAGTCTTGGCATTACGAAGTAGCCTGGCACGCAAACCACAACTTGATGTAATGTGCTAATTACTGAGCTTTATAGGTGTTGGTTGGTGGATTTTGTTAAGCTTGGACAGCGCCAGGCAAGCTGTTTCCTTCTATTAATTATATTTAGTGTACAGACATGAGAGTGGTATCGACTTTCTTGAATATTTTCCAACAATTTTGAACAGTTCCTTTATTCCAAAGTGCTGCAGAACAAGCAACTGTCCAAATACTGACTGCACTCCAAATAAAAGGTCTAGCTCAAGTGTCTTGTAGTTGCAAAATGGCATCATGTAGAAGAACGTATCCTGTAAACAGAGGATTTGACATGGTTGACTACTAAAATACTGTGAAATTCCACACGTAGAACGTTTTAAGAGAACCTGTAGGATAAAGTGGGGCAGTAGAAGCCTCGAATTGCTGGAAGAAACTGTTCTTCTAATTTCTTAGAGCAAGTCAAACACTCCTCTGCAGCTGCTCCAATGGTATTAATCCACTTTCAGTCGAGCGTCAGCGGTGCTGTAGCTGCAGACCTGGAGGATCCTCTGCTGTGAATTAGGCTGGATGATAGCAGCTGTGACACCGCTTGCTTCGGGCTCTTTCGACTTTCCTGCTGAATCACCGACTCGACACACACTCATATCAGGCTAGCTTTTGCCGAGAGTGACTCAGGGGCAACTTTCTGAAGCCATTAAGTGATCTTAGCTATTACACGAGGTTATCCCTCTGCAGCATGACAGTTTAATCTCCCCATATGATGTCAAAGAGTGCGCTGAGTTCAAAATCGATTGCTTCAGGTTGCAGACAGCGAAGGCGTTCCAACTTCTGTCTGACATTGATGGGTGAAACTTGAAAGATGTGTTCATTCTTTGTAGGGACAACTCCTAGCGTTGATACGTAATGTGACGGCACAGTGTGTGATGTGTGTTTAAGGCCGAGTGAATCTTTCGCTGTTTTTACTGGCTGAGAAAAAAAATAAGCCACTCCTGGTAAGAAGAACTGATGCATTCATTTAGGCAGTTTGTTTTGATTTTGCCACTGGGAGGCACCAAAGTTACATATTCTTAGATATAAGTTAGAAAATGTATGCTTTCAGGTGTATACATTAGTATTTTACAATGAGTTTTTCTCTCTATACACAACAGTTAATTGTCTGTGTACTTCAGAATTATGAATTCTAATGAATGAATTTATCTTTATTGTTTTTAACTGTTCTAAAGTGTTTCCTATAGTTCTACAAATAAGCTTACCTCGCCTGTTTCTTGCAGGGGAGGCTGATGCAAACACAAAAAAGCGGCTTCTTCCCCAGTTCATGTGTGAAGCCTTGTTTGGACCCAAAGGTACAGTAAGTCACCGGTGGACTCGTACTGTAGACATAACAGAGTCCTCCGTTTTTCTCTTCAGTGTCCATTTAACTGCTGAGGTGGCACACGACTGCTCTTTAATGCGTGCTGTCTGTTATTTGTGGCAGCCCTTTCAATCCAGCCGGCAGTCCTCGAGGGAAGCAGACTACTACGGATATCCTTGGTAAGACCCCGAACTTGTGAAGGTTGTGGATTTAATGGCGCAGTACACAATATACTACCATCTACTCCAAGGTCACTATCCTGTAATTGCTTCAGATCTGTTAATGTTAACAATCTATACTATTAAATTCAAGCACTGGTTCAATTTAAAGCGAGCTGACCCCAACCAAAGGATTAATTACTACACGGTTGTTTGATGTTGAGCATTTGTAAATCCTACAGCATGTCATTCGATAATGTAACTCTGGAGGTCACGACGTTCATCCTCCGTCTGTCCGCAGGTTTGCAGGGAACATGGAGCGCCAGCAGGCAGACAACCTTTTAAAATCCCACAGCAGTGGGACATACCTTATCAGAGAGAGGACAGCCGAGGCGGAGAGGTTCGCCATCAGCATCAAGTGAGCATTTCACATCTTACAGGAGAAGGAAAATGTCAGGGGAAGGTTTTTATCCATATCTCACAGGAAATAAAAATTCTCACGGGAAGCCCCAGTCAGCTTTTTCAGTGCATCTTTTTAGCTCCAGCTAATTACCACTCAGTAATTGCTTTTTTTTAATCCTATTTTTTTTTCCTCTGAGAGAATGCATCCCAAAGAGAAATAATGTATGAGCTTTTTGCTGGAGCTGTCACACGGTGATGTGGTGAGAGAAGGAATGCACATTTGTGTTTAAGTCCTTAATGCAGGTGCAAAGAGACTGAGGAGACCAACCTTTATATAATGAAGTAAACAAACCTGAAAGTCAGCCTTAACTTTCAGAAATGACTTTATTTTGGTCAAAAAAAAGGAAAAGTGAAGCACAAAATTATGTAACTTGAAATGTTTGCAGATAAAGTCAACTTCTCCTCTTGGCGATTTCTCTTCACAGATTCAACGATGAAGTAAAACACATCAAAGTCATCGAAAAAGACAGCTGGATTCACATAACCGAGGCAAAAAAGTTTGAAAGTCTTTTGGTAAGTCATATATGTCATTGCCAAAAAAAACAAAACAAAAAAAACCCCACAAAGACTTTAATGGCAACATGAAAGCAGAAATACTCAAACTTTCTTGTGCTGTTACGCAACAGGAGCTGGTGGAGTACTATCAGACCCATTCGCTAAAAGAAAGCTTCAAGTTGTTAGATACCACGTTGAGATACCCCTACAAGTCGAGAGAACGCTCGCTAACACGGGCCAGCACACGCTCACCAGGTAAACCTTTCACATTTCTATGTTTTTTAGCACTCGGGCAGTCGTCTGGTATCAGATATCAACCAATATCCTTCTGAAGTAAATGCTTCAGCAATGTGTTGATGATCTGTCACTTGCTATCTGTCACCAGCAATTTCCCTCAAAGGTTTCCATCAAAGGGATCAATAAAGTTCTATTCTATTCTATTGCTAGAAGTCATATCATTTCCTACGGCGATACACAACAGCCAACTGATAAATCACAGTCAGTAAACTTCTTGGCTTTGAAAAGTTTGACCTTCATCAGAATTCAACATTGAGTCCAGCTTCTGTTCATCCTTGATCTCTTGCAGATACCGTTTTGTTTCAATCCTGCTCAGAGTACTTGATTCAAATCAGTGAATTGACAAAACGAATATAGTGTCTATTGACTGTCTGGATATTGTGGCGCTGAATCAAGGACAATGTCTTCAGAGTTTTCTTTAGAAGAATCCACCCTAAAGGGAAAATGCTTTTCAACGGGTGAAGTTGACCTTGAAGAGAAACTAGAAAAATGAACTGTACTCTGCATTCAGATCGTTTTACTTTGTGTTGAAGTTGTGGCCCACTCGCGTATCAAGTCACTTTTGTGTCTTTGTTATTGAATGAATGGAAAAGTGGTTTGCAATCAAAAAGTAGATTTGAGGGCAGAACTACTGACAGTGGGCTTCAAAGGTGTTTCTTTGGAAGTAAAATGAATGTAATATATCAGATTGGAATAGGCTACACGAGTCGTGCAGCTTTTATTTTCCGGCTACCGTTGAAATTATGTCTCGCTCCATTCATTTAGTTAAGGTCACGGTCTTGTTAGCCTGAAATAACTGCCCTGCGTCATCATTTAGATGCCTGCTGAGTGGAGAAACTTGCTTATGAAGACTTTGGTGTAAGTTACGTCTCTCTCTGGAGTGGAAAACTCAAACATTCCCTTATCCCAGGGGTAACCAACAACATGTTTTCACTAAACCAGCTGTCTGGAATAGACCCTTAGTCTGTCTTTTGCATAGACTTTCTTTTCTCGTTTACCTTTGGTGGATGTTTCCACGGTGTCATTCCAATCAAAGCAGGTCTTACATCTTTAGGCGTATGCCCCATTTATTAGATTCAGACAAAGCAAAACCTTTGGATTTCCTAACAAACCTTTTGGATTTGTGAATAAAACTTTTGGATTTGCATTTTTTTTTTTGAGTGCAGTGGCTATAATTTTGCTATTGAATCTATATTTTTATTGCAAACCTATTTTGTTTGAATGCATTTAAAGACATAAAAGTATCTCCATTAAAGAGAGTCTAGCCTTTTGTGGCCACACTTTACTGGATGGACCATCAGGCGCTTGCTGATGAGCTCATCTCTTGGCTTATCTCCAGGTGATGGCCCTGTCTTTAAATTCTAAGTGTGAGTTTCCATTTTCCCCCAAAGTCATTCCATAAAGGTCTATATTACCACTTGATCCAGGTTATAATCTTCTCCTACGGTCATGAGCTTTGGGTAATTACTGTAGGGACCCGTTTTCCTTTGCATGGTGACTCGGCTCACCTCGAGAGATAAGGTGAAAACCTCCTAAATCCTCAAGGAACTCTCAGAAGATTTTTCTTTTAGTTTAAGAGTGGCTTTGTGCATCTGATGTGGAAGAGGGGACCACAGGGCAGACGCAGAACACTGGAGGGATTCAAGTACATACTTAGTCTAGCCTAGGAAGACTCCTCCTAATACCTGGAAGACATAGCTCGTAAGAAGGACCAATGGGTTTTACTTGGTCAGGCTGCTGCCACAACAACCTGGATCCAGATAAGTGGTGAATTGCCAATGTTTTGGCCAGTTAGCACACTGTACAGCGGCATGCAAAAGTTTGGACGAGTAAAGAGGTTAAGGGAGTCAAGGGTGAGCCAGTCTCCAGAAAGTATAAAGCTGAAGATTGAGTAACAATAAGGAAAGATGCAAAAGTTTCAGCTTTAAGGTCTATAGATTTTTTTCCCAGTCATTTTTAGGAAAGGCCAGCTGATACGAATGTTAAAGTTCTATAAATACTCTGACTCTATAAACTTGGTCCTAACAATCAGCAGCCACAGGCTCCTCTAAGCAGCTTCCTCGCACTCTGAAAATTAAGATGCATGAGAAGGCTATAAAAAGGTAGCAGAGTGTTTTCAGGTACCCCCTTTTACTCACTTCTTCATGTAATTAAGAAATGGCTGTCAACACGAATGGAAGAAGTTGCTGCAGTTCTGATAACTTCTCATAGGGTTACTCGAAAGGCAAATCAAATCCCTGCAAACGACCTTCAGAGAGACCTTTAGCGAACTTCATTGGAGTGGTGGTTCACTGTACCGCTGTATACCTGCATGACCAACATGGAAAAGTGATCAGGTGTAAACCTTTCCTGCAGCTCCGCCACAAAATTCAGCATCACAAGTTTGCAAATGAATATATAAACCCGTCTGATGCGTTTTGGCAACAAGTCCTGTAGATTGATGAAGTTAAAGCAGAAGTTTTTTGGCCGCAATGAACAAAGTGAAATATGTTTGGAAGGAAAAAAATGGCAGAGTGTTTCATGAAAAGAACACCTCTCCAACTGTTAAACACGCAGGTGAATCAATCATGCTTTTCACTGGCAAAGGGAAGAATGGATTCAATTAAATAGCAGCAAATTCTGAAAAGCAACTATAACACCGACCATAAAAGAGCTGAAGATGAAAAGAGGATGGCTTCTATGACAAGATAATGATCCAAAACACACCTCACAATCCACAATGGGCTGCCTCAAGAGGCACAAGCTGAAAGTTTTGCCGTGGCAGTTGCAATCTGCCGACCTAAACACCGTCAAAAATCTGCAGACACACCTCAAAAGAGCAGGCAAGAAACAAACAGAACTGGAAGCCTTTTTGCAAACAAGAATGGATGAAAATCCCCCAAACAAGAACAGAAAGACTCTTGGATTCTACAAAAAAGCATTTATAAGCTGTCAAATTGGCCAAAGGGGGGGTTGCTAAGTACTGACCATGCAAGGTCAACAGATTTTTGCTTTCGGCCCCTTTCATTTTCTGTTTTTTTTTTTTTTGAAGAAGTAATCATACTTAGCATATGAGTCATCTTTAACTGTATGTACGCCTCTTGGAAAACATATTTACTTTCCTAGCTTTTGAAAATAACACAAATTTGTACCATTTTGCCCAAACTTCTGCATGCCACTGTACGTCTAATAATATATCCACCCAACTCTATGGATGATTACGGCAATTTGACTCGTCGGAGATGCTCTAATGTAGCAGGTCCGGCTCACAAAAATTCATTCCCTCGGCACCTTGGCTGTGGATATGGTAAGGGAAGGGGGGGGTAAAATAAATGAGACACACCGCCTCCCACTCGCTTTACTCTCCCTGGTCCTTTGTTCCTCCCAAGGCCACTGACTCTCCTGACTCGTACAGAGAGAAATTGAGGGAGGCCAGAGGGGAACAGGGCAGAACAGGAGGACAGCAGTGTGAAATGATAAAGAGGGAATGTCAAAGAGGAAGGCAGCTAACTCAGTGGCCTGTGGACTGACTGAATTGGCTGCCCTCTCTGACCATTAGACTGTATGAATACTGGCTGTGGCCCTGCACTGGCTTCTGTCCTACATTGGCCTGCCTCTGCTCGCTCTGCACAAGGACCCAACTGGCCACTACAGCAAGATTGTGGCCTTGTTGTTTTGGCTGAATTTATGGAAATGGACGGAGACAACTGAGTTTTTGCCGATGACGACGTGCTTTCGCTCTAATCCCGACTGTTTTTTTTTTTTGTGTCCGCTTTGCGCCCACGGTCGTCCATGAAACAGCTGTTGGAGTGGGAACATGTATTATAATTAGGAAGCATTATGACCAATCACGTCTGCTCCTTTCACTCCATTTAAAATCTCTCTGATCTTTTATTGAACCCTGAATATCTCATTTCTCTGTATTAAAGGTACATACTGAGGCCAAAAAAACTAAATTTTCTGCAAAACGGCTTCACTGTTGCTTCTTCTTGAATGTGCAAATCTATCAAATCTGTGCACCCAACTTTAATCTAACTCGCTGCAGCTCAAGCACACCAGCTCACCTACGCCCCTCAAACACCGTAAAGCTACTCAAGTTGTGATATAATTCAGCACTACATGTTTGAGCCGGAAACTGATTCTGAAGAAAAGTGATACAGCAAGTTCCTTTTTTTTGTTTGTTTGTTTGTTCGTACGAAAGTCCAGAAATCTGAATCTGTGTTTTTTGAGACTGTCATCGGTACACTGCAGTTTCAAGGTGGTAATGTTCAGTTCTGGTATTGATTGCTTGTTTTTGTTATGATTTGTCTTTCAGTATTTAAAAAAAAAAAAACACCATAAGGACATGTTAACAAGGTGAAAACTTGTTTTTCACTTCAGGGCATTTTAAAAGCTATTCTTTCTGCATCATCACATACTGACAGTTTGTATAAAGTGAGTCCACCACACAAACATTGTCTGGAAAGGATCTATCAAGTTCTGCATATAGCTGAAAGAATACGCTACAAAGAGCAGAAGAAGTCTTTTTATTCATATCACACATTATGTTGTGCAGTCACCTTGAAATCTCGTAATATTGCAAGAGTTGGTTTTTTTTACACAACACAATGCAAACTGTGCAGTAATTAAGGATTTAAGTTAAATGTATTTGCGTGTTTAGCAGTTTAGCTTGTTGTATCAACATTGAAAGATAATGTCATTATTGCCAGAGCTACTGGGAACGAGATAATCTCCTGCTTTCACACAGAGTGACGCTTCTTTCTCTGGGTTTATGTAACACACACACACTGTTGTTTGCGATCCACGAATACATGGAGATTTTGTAAATAAGAAATTCTCTCTGCAGTCAAATTGTGTCTCCGACATTGTTACAATTAAATATAATGAGAACAGAACGCACAGGCAAACAGAACTTCAATGGATTCCCCTCTTTCACTCTCAGCTTTTCTGGCTCCAGCTCTGCAGGCATGAACCTCAAACATTTTCCAGCTTCACTTCCTCCTCTGTCTCTCGTCTCTTCTCCTTCTCAGCAGCCACCTGCGCCTCCTACAACTTCTCCTTCCTCAGTCCGCAGGGCCTCAACTTCTCCTCCTCTCAGAGCTCAGCTCCCTTTTGGTCAGGTACTCTCTTCTTCTTTTTTTATTGTTTCTTTCTTCCTTTCTTTGCTCGCACTTCATCGCCTGTAATTACATAATAAGCCTCCGTGCCCTCGACCTCATTACTTCTTCTCCGTGTCGCTATTTTCATTAACAAGAACGTTTCAGTTCTTCGCGGGATGACATTTCCTCATTAAATCAAGAAAAGAAAACCAATTTCCTCTCTCGTGATGAAACAACTTGTTGTCCTTTCCCCTCGTGCTCGTTTGTCATTTCCTCGCCACAGTGCGTCACGCTGAGCGCTGACCCCACCGTCGTCCCTCTGCACATTCCTCACAACTAACCATTACCATTATGTCCAGCGTGACCTCACCTCACAGCCACCTCTCTTAGGCATACAGATAATTATCCATCTCTAATACCAGTGATTAAAGACCTGCATTATATATAACAGTAGTAAAGTGCACTCTTTTTATTGCAACACCGTGAAAAGACTGAGCTCCCCCATTGTTTCCTTTTGCAGTGTTTACTCCGCGGGTGGTCAGCACAGCCGTGGCCAGGTATAACTTTGCGGCGAGAGACATGAGAGAGCTCTCGCTGCGGGAAGGAGACATCGTCAAAATCTACAGCAAGATCGGAGGCGACCAGGGCTGGTGGAAAGGAGAGGCGAATGGAAGAGTGAGTAAACCGAGGAAACCTGTTCGTTTGTGGACGGCTAAACTGATCAGAAGAGTGTACTGTAGTTCGTTGTATTAATGGGTTAGGGAGGTACGTTGACCTTGAAGCTAGAGTTCTCAATGTCGCGAAGGTGGTTCTTGTTCTTGGGCTCTTTTGCTGCAGACTTGTAGAGTTGTATGTTAGTATTGCTGCTGAACAAACCATGCAGTTGTGGTGTGTTGCAGTGCCATGCAAACCGACATTCGTGATGCAGAAAATGCAGAAATGCATTTCTATGTTTGGTCCTGATTCGAGTCCTTTTCCCACTGCTGGTACCGCGGCACGGATAGTTTGTTGGTATTTATTATAGAGAATGTTCAATAATATTAATTTCACTTTGATTTGGCCAAAAATGAAAGAGATTTCCTCACATTATCCATTATACTTCTATAATGGATAATGTGAGGAAATCTCTTTCCTAGATGCATTCTTGAGTATCATGTGTGAAGTTTTTTACCGTAATAAATGTTTATATCCCTCATGACTCTCCGTTATAAATCGGTTCTCTCAAGTGAAGTGTTTTGCACCCAAGAAAAGTCAAATGATGCGTAAACACCCCCTTTTTGAAAGTGTGAACAGAGCCTGATTAAGAAAATTTGGGTTAACAAAGACAGATACCCAAGTTTCAGGTTTTGTTGATCCAGTTTGCACAAAGAAAGCCTGGCTTTGTCAAACCTGCAACCCTCAGAGCTCAGGCTGAAAAGACAACAATAAAAACATCAGGTGCTGAAATCTCATTTGGTTAAAAACACATTCATTGCATTCGACATGTGCACGAGACAAAGTCAAGCAATCACAAAGAAAAGTACAGCGCTGATGAAGGGCTTTCTGGTCACCGGAGGGACTGGATTTAACAATTAAACCACAGATATTCAAAGCAATCCTAAAGCAGGTGCTTGAAAGAGAGAAGAAGAAAAAAAAAAAAGGGAGGAAAAAATGGCTGCTGGGAATTGTGCCAGTTTAATAGGCTGGCCGTAAAACTGGAAGTGATGTCAGCTTTTTATTTTAGGAATGTTCCCCATTAAGCTGTAAATTTGACAGTGTTAATGTGCTGCCGGGGAGCCAGACCGAGTGTGTCCACTCAGCTCGTACAGCTGCAGAGCTAAACTTTGCTGCACTCTCTTGTACAGTCTGGTCTTTAAGTGCTGTAGCGGTGTAATTTAGATTTTATCATAGCGGGCTGCCATCTTGCTTTTACTCCATCAAGCGCTGCGGCGGAAATACAGTCTTTGTCAGAAAATCGTGTCATTGTGTCGGATATGAAGCAGCACTTGACTGAAACTGACGGTTCCAGAAGTAGTTGTTAAAAAGTAACCGACTCTGTATTCAAGGCAGAAAGGTGTTCAGGTCAGTCAGATCTCATATCCACCTGATGTTATCTCGACTGAAGGCCACATAGCAGAGGGGATGTCATGAAATCAGCAGGTGTTTATCTTGTGATCTGTTCTCAGCTACGTGTAAATGCACTTTGTATCGTTTTTAAAGAAGAAAATCCAACTAAATGTTAGAGATCGCCTCAATCTGCCTGTTGCTATCTCACGTGAGCTACATATGAGCTTATCCTCAGCAGGAAAACATAAGTATTGCTTCCCCCCACCTGGGTTCTGCCACGTTATCCGAGACGTCCACCACAGACCCACAATCAGATGCAGTCATGCACGTAACGTACCCACATCCTGATCCCAGCAGGTGTAAATGGACTTCTTGATGTTGCCATAAATACGATCTTTGTGTTGGTATTACCTTTTGTTAGCTCAGTACTCGCTTCACAATTCCAACAAGTAGGAGAAGTTGTTGCCTAGCAACAGCTGAAGTAGTATTTGAAGTAGCCTTCAAGTATTTTTTTTTAGAACAGAGGCGAGGCTGCTACTGAGCCGTGCAGTTATCTGAAAATAATGCACATCCTCTGGCAAATTAGTGCGGAGACGAGTATTCGGAGCGGCCTTGGACTAATGCTGTGGATCCGCTTCCTTCAGCGTTACCAAATGTTGATCTTACTGCAGGTACAACATGTAGAGAGAAAAAGAACATTTAAAAAAAAGAAAAGGCTTGTGAGTGAACTTAATTAACATCCCTTGTTTACAGTGGTTTACATAAAGGAGCGTGTGTGTGTCTGATAATTACCGTTTCATGTTTCAGATTGGATGGTTTCCCTCAACCTACGTGGACGAAGAGGGAGTGCAGTAAAGGCTTGTGGATGCTGCCGGCCCGGCTCCCCTTTAAATCAGGAACCGTCTACTACTATCTACTGTTCTCAGAGAAGATTATTCACTCTCTCCAGGAAAAATGACACAAGGAAAACAAACAAACAAACAAAAAAAAGACCTGTTTTTTTGTCGTCGTTTTTGCTGGATGCTCATTTTTCTACTTTGTTTCTCTACAATTATGCATCGGCTTTTGTTATTTCTGTTGTTTTTTTTTTCTCTCGCTGGATGTCCTGTTTAATTTCTGTACAGGAAAGAAGAAGAAAAAAAACTGGCTTTGCTGTCTGTCAGCCTCTGCGTGCTCTGCAGAGACTCCACTGAACTGAGGACACAGCAGAAACTGACTGTTGAAAGCTTTACTTTGAGGGAAAAAAAAAAAAAGGAAGGCTCCCCCTTTTTGTTGCAGGTGAAATAATTGTACAGTATAGATAATTTATTGAATAGAGATTATTATCATGACTAATGATTATTGTGGGGAAGTTGATTTAAGCAAAGAATCGGATCATTGAAAAAAAAAAAAAAAAAAACAGATGCTGTGTTTTCATGTTGAGAGATTTTTGCCTTAGTTGTCATGGTGATGCCTTGTGGGCTGACACCAGTGGAGGGAATCGACTTTGTTGACTGGGTTTTCTGCTTTCTCCATGTATGCATGTGCCCATGTGCGGCCCACATAAACACAACACAGACACACACCAATGTACAGTACGGTGCCTTTGAAGAATTGCTCGTTGCTTTTTCTGAACCTCGACATTGAGCCGGTAAAGAACGCCGCCATCCCCTTAAAAAAAAAAACAACAGACGTCCACATGCAGAGGACTTTATTACCAGGAAGGGGTGCAACACTCCGGAGACGGCTCGACTTCTGAGCCCTCGGGGGAAAAAAAAACACAAGATGGATGGTTTTGACTCCACCTAACCGGAGACCGGATGGACTCGCAGCTGGAGGAGTTTTGTTTTTTCAATAGCCAACAACAATCACGTATACAGTTCACGTCAGTTGTCGGTGTCATGAGTCTGTGGGTGCAAACATCAAAATATCCAACTTTTAAATCTCTGTGTTCATTGTTTGATTTTTTTCACACAGAATTTTTAATTATCTGAAGCTAAATTCATCTGGTTGGATCAGTTCTGATTTTTGCCTTATTTTATTTTATTTTTTTTTTTACAGATGATCAGGTTTTTATTGTTAATCATTTCTCACGTGAGATTTATGTCCGGTGCTGTGCAGACGAAATGAAACGGTGTCAGAGGAGTTTTCATTTTGAAGGAAATATTGCGTGCTAACGACACGAATCCACAGAAGGAGCCCTTAAACCTTTTTTTGTGATTTTTCTAGGGGTGCGGTGCTTAGTGTTTCCTTTTATTTCCAGTAATTTAATGGTGCCATAAATACTTAACAGATTTATAGACCGCAGTGTGCTGGCATACAGCTTTTTTTTTTTTTTTAACTTTCAAGAGCTTAAATGAACCAGATCGATTTCTAATCCCAGCCCTGCAGATATTCAGATTTTTATTGACCTTTTTTAGCTCTGCTTTCTTTAAAAAGGTAAGCGCAAATTTTGTTTACGTGAAATTTGATATACATTATATGACTAACTCTGGCCTTTAACCTTCATACCTTCACCTTTCAATATTGACGCACATTTGCATCAGTGCGGCACACAAAAAAGAAAAAAGAAGAAATGCTCGACTAAAAATTGGATTTTATGCAAAGTCGCTGCTTAAAGTAGCTTATAAAGTGAAGTCTTCTTGCTGCAAATAGGTCAAAAAAACAAGTTCAGTCCATCAATACGGTTCAAACCGACACTGAGAAGTAAAGTGCAAACACTGAGCACGTCAGCTCTGGCTGGTTCACAAAGACTTACGGCGCAGGAGATGCTGATATGTTTAGTTTCTAAACTTTTTGACTGTCTATAATGTGTGTATATCGCAAAAAAAAAAAAAAAAAAGGCCAACCGCCCTGGAAAAACACAAAGTCCTACCACTGTGTGAGGGGGACACACAGGAGGCCTCCATGTTGTCTGGAATACGAGGGTTTGGAGCGGGTTTTGGGGGGAGGGGAATCTAGTCGCTTTTTTTAAAAATGTGGTGGACAAGAACCCATTGCATGTGGCTATTGATATTTCAACTCCTGTCAGTTCATCCTGGAAAAAATAAGTACTTAATCGTGTACATTTTTTTTTTTTTTGAATGGTTGAGTATTTCCAAATGAGGTCTATCATGAAATAAATATTTCTCTTTTGATTTAAAGTTAAGGCTGGATTATTTTTGAACTCCATCTGTTAAGGTTTCACTCATTTCTGTTGTAGAATAAATTCTTCCTTTTGCTGAACATGGGGAACAAGTAGTGGACCACCTGCTGCTTTTCTTTTACAAAATCTACTCTGCAGACCTTCAACACTGATAGTTTCGTTTGAATTTTATCATAGTGGTTAAATAATGACAGCATCTTCTAAAACACATTTCAAAAACTCAGCACGTGCAATAAATTCTCATGTTTTTTAACTGTAAAAATGTCAAAATTCACATTACATGGCTGAAAACTCGCCATTATTTCGTACATAACTGAAACTTAAACAACCACTCAGCAACCTGTAAAAGAAGAGATTTGTTAGACGGTGAGAAGACAGACGTCTCGGTGCTTAATGAAGAGAAACACAGCGAAAAAGCGTCCGCTAATCAGCTCAGAAACAGCAAAACAGCGTCCATTACAGCCTGAAGAAAACAGCGTGGCTCCATCAGATCTCCACCACAAAGAAAGAGTCAGAAAGCAGCAGTCACAGTCGTCTAATAATTACCTGCAAAGCTGTATATTTATATGTTTTGAACATCGGCTTTACGGGCAGTGACATTCACCTGAATGAACAATGATACATAATTAGCTAATAGAAGAGCTTCCCCCCCTCCATCACTAAGATTATCTTAAAGCAATTAAGTTACACAATGTTATCGGGGAATCATGACGCGGCACAGCTTTGAATTCAGTTAATTAAACTCTGTGCCAGACTGCTGCGGCTCCCAAAATTTAGCTTCAGGTGTCCGAACTGTCCTGAAGCTCCTATTCAAGCGTCACAAAAGGCGGTAAAATAGGAAGAAAAAAAACCCCACTGCTGTCACACCGCATAGCCGTACTTGCTGTCATATTCAACCCGTGTGACCGTGTGTCCGTGGACGACGCTGGAGGGAGTTTGTGAGCGTCCGTCGCTGAAGGAGCTCACCTCGGTCCCGTCCACCGGGCTGTAGGCCACGTGGCGACCGCCGCTGCGACGACTGACCGGGCGGCTGTCAGGAGGCGCAGAGTCCTCCCTGTTTGGGAACAGAGGAGAGGCAGAAAAAACAAGTTAGAGGAGTTTACCATCCAGAGAGTTATTTGGATTAATTCTAAGAAAGCTTAGAAGAAGGACTGAGCTTTGATAGGATGGAATTAGAACTTCAGGGAGCTTCAGAGTAGAGCTGCACATTCATGCTTGTTTTTAAGGTCATGAAGAGTTGTTTTCATAATCAAAGTCGTACTTTTCGCAGTCTTCAAAAGCGCACAATGGCATTTAACTTACACAACTTTAAAAGCTCCACTATATGCACATCTGAGAGGCTCGAACTTGGAGAGGTTTGACATTTATTTTTTCTTCACTTTCATTGTGCGGCTGCAGGTATTTCTCAAAGGTAGCTGACATTCAGCGAGATTTGGGTCCTATATACGTCTGCATCCATACTTCCCCCACTGCAGATGTACAGTATTTACTAAGCAA